TAGTCTATGCACAGTTGGTGAACCATCTAAATGAATATCAGGTAATGGACACCTGTCAGTCTGGTTTTAGACAACAGCACAGCACTGAAACTGCTCACGTTCGGGTGTTTAATGACATTTTTCTGGCTTTAGATTCAGGTTTCCATGTGGTTCTGGTACTTTTGGATCTATCTGCAGCATTCGACACGATCGATCATGACATTTTGATCACAAGACTTCACACTTGGGCTGGCATTTCAGGCACTGCCCTGGATTGGTTTAGGTCATACTTTTGTAACAGGTCTGCTAGGGTCATGTTGGACGGCTGTTCATCAGAGTCACAGCCTCTACGTTGGGGTGTCCCACAAGGTTAAATTCTCGGCCCGTTACTGTTCAACCTCTATATACTGCCCTTAGGAGCCATTTTCAGAAAGCACGCTGTCTCATACCATCTTTACGCTGACGACTGTCAAATCTATTTTTCATTTAAGCCAACTCAGTCAACGCAAGTTCTGTCTGATTGTATCCTTGAGGTCAAGCAATGGCTAGCTGACAACTTCCTCCATCTCAATGACTCCAAAACTGACTTAATCGTTTTCAGTCCTAACAGTATCACGGCAACTCAACAACCTGACCTCAACTATCTCTCACCTAATGTATCCTCTGTAATCTCCAACCTTGGAGTAAAAATGGACCAGGCTCTGAAGATGGATGCCCAGGTCAATAACACAGTTAAATTATGTTTTTACCAACTAAGACGCATCTCAAAACTAAAGCACATCCTGAGTGTACGTCTTCTGAAATCAGTGGTCCACACTTTTATCACCTCAAGGCTGGATTACTCCAACTCCTGCTTATATGGCATCAGTAAAGCAGCTCTCTCTAGACTTCAGCTGGTCCAGAATTCAGCAGCTAGGTTGCTGACTGGAGCTGACAGAAGACAACACATTTCTCCAATTCTGAAATCTCTCCACTGGTTGCCCGTGCAGTTCAGGATAAACTTCAAAATTATGCTTCTCACTTACAAATCCTTGAACCATCAAGCTCCTCCATATCTGTGTGAACTGGTCCATTACTACAACCCGCCGCGTGCTCTCAGGTCTGAAGATAAGCTCCTCCTAGCTGTTCCGAATGCACGTTTAAAAAGCCGTGGAGAGAGGGCTTTCTCTGTCTGTGCACCGAAGCTGTGGAACGCATTACCACTGCTAGTGAGGCTAGCACCAACAGCTAGCATTTTTAAATCACGCCTGAAAACTCAATACTTCAACCTAGCTTATACAACATAATTATGAACCTCACTGACATCTGCACTGTTTATAAACTGACTCCACAATTATCGACTTCCGTATTATTGAGGTTCTTTGTAAAATGTTTTTTTTCCTATTTTTACTTCACCCTGTGTCTTAATGATTTTTAGCTGTTATTTTTGGGAATTTTGTTGTATTTCCTTTTTATCTTTTATCTGTGTTCGACATGTTTATATAACGCCTGTTTAATTAACCAACATTTTTAGTGTACAGCGCCTTGTTTGGTTGTAATGCCTTGTGAATGCGCTTTATAAATAAAATTGGATTGGAATCCGACGGATCCTCCTCTCCAGAACCCCTGTATAGATCTTACCAAGGAGGCTCACAAGTGTGACCCCTCTGTAGTTGGAACACACTTTGCAGTCCCCCTTTTTAAATAGGGGGACCACCACCCCAGTCTGCCAATCCAGTGGGACTGCCCCCGATGTCCACGCGATATCAACCAACACAACCCAACAACATCCAGAGCCTTAAGGAACTCCGAGCGGATCTCATTCCCCCCGGGGCCTTGCCACTGAGGAGTTTTTTTTACCACCTCAGTGACCTCAGCACCTGAGATTGGAGAGTCCAACTCAAAGTCTCCAGACTCTGCTTCCTCATTGGAAGATGTGTCAGTGGGATTGAGGAGGTCTTCAAAGTATTCCGTCCACCGATCCACAACTAAGAGTAGAGGTCAGCAGCACAACGTCACCACTATAAACAGTGTTGGTAGCGCACTGCCTTCCTCTCCTGAGATGCCGAATGGTTTACCAGAATCTCCTCGAAGCCGTACGGAAGTCTTGCTCCATGGTCTCACCAAACTCCTCCCATGCCCGGGTTTTTGCCTCCACTTCCGCCCGAGCCGCATTCTGCTTGGACTGCCGGTACCTTTAGCTGCTTCTGGAGTCCCACAGGCCAAAAAGACTCGATAGGACTCTTTCTTCAGCTTCACAGCATCCCTAACCGCTGGAGTCCACCAGCAGGTTCAGGGGTTTCCACCACGACAGGCACAGACACCCCTGAGGTCGCAACTCCGGTCAGCTGCCTCAACAATAGAAGCACAGAACACGGCCCACTTGGACTTGATGTCTCCCGCTTCCCTCGGCATGTGTTCAAAATTCTGTCAGAGGTTGGAATTGAAGCGCCTTCTGACAGGAGACTCCGCCAGACGTTCCCAGCAGACCCTCACAATTCATTTGGGCCTGCTAGGTCTGACCGGCCTCCTCCGCCACCATCAAAGCCAACTCACCACCAGGTAGTGGTCAGTTGACAGCTCCGCCCCTCTCTTCACTTGAGTGTCCAAGACATGCAGCTGCAGATCAGATGAAAAAAAAGTCGATCATCGAGCTGCGGCCTAAGGTATCCTGGTGCCAAGAGCATGAACATGGTGCCTTTAGGCTTGAACATGGTGTTCATTATGGACAATCCATGATGTGCACAGAAATTCAATAACAAAACACCGCTCCGATTCAGATCAGGGGGCCGTTCCTCCCAACCACACCTCTCCAGGTCTCACTGTCGTTGCCCACATGAGCGTTAAAGTCCCCCAGCAGAACGAGGGAGTCACTTGAAGGAGCGCTCTTCAGCATCCCCTCCAAGGACTCCAAAAAAGTGGGTAGTTTTAGCTGCAGTTTAGTGTCCAAGCACAGACCACAGACAGGGCCCGTCCCCCACATGAAGGCGGAGGGAGGCTACCCTCTCATTCACTGGGGTAAATCCCCAACGTACAGGCACCAAGATGGGGGGCAACAAGTTTGCCCACCGAAACTGGTTCTGGAGTCAGAGCCTTGCATTGAGGTGAGTCCAAATATATCTAGCTGGAACTTCTCAACCTCAACCACCAACTCTGGCTGTTTCTCCACCAGAGAGGTGGCATTCCACATACCAAGAGCTAGTTTTTGCAGTCAAGGATCAGAAGTTAGTTGGTGGAGAGGGGAGCAGAAAATGGCCGGATCTAGAGTCTTACTCTATATTATTTCCTGATATCTTGCCTCTTATAAGCTCGTTTCTCAGTGAACTTGCTTATGCTGGAGGCCCACCCCTCTAGTTGCAAAACAGCAAGAGATGGCCTTTTTTTTTATTATCTTCCCAAAATAAAGTGGGATTTCCGCCCCTTAGAATAGAAAGCAACAGGGGGAGGACGGCCTGTGTGTGTGTGTGTGTGTGTGCCTGCATACATGCATGCATTTCCTCGAGTGTCCGTTGTAAGCGCCACAGAGCCAGGGAAAGTTATTTTATTGCTACAAACAATGATTCACGTGAGCAGTATAAAGGATAAGCTTGTGAGCGGTTGTTCTTATGAAACCTGCGGCGTTCAACAAACAACTTCAGATAATTACTAGTTAGCTTTTTTCACCCAAAATAAATCAATAGCAGATTGCATCAAGTCACCTACTAGTGTCAGAGTCTTGACAGCAATCCTCATACTAAGCAAGCATTTAGCGACAGTGGAGAGGAAAACTCCCTTTTAACAGGAAGAAACCTCCAGAGGATCCTGGCTCAGTGTAAGCAGCCATCCACCACGACTCACTGGGGATGGAGATGACAGAGCAGACACACACACACACACACACACACACACACACACACACACACACACACACACACACACACACACACACACACACACACACACACACAACATATATACCAAGTAATGTTTCTATGGTTACATTGTGATTTCTTAGTAAATATTCTTTTTGGTGAGAGATAAACTTTATTGTATTTATCCTAGTGAATCTATAATTAAATGGTAAACTAGTAGTAGCACATTCAATGTCAAAGAAAGTAAAATGTTATTATCAGGAGAGGGAGAATGTTTAAGTGGTTAGCAACAGTGTTCAAGCCTTCAGTCTCCTTTCACTCTTTACACTCCCGTATGTTTCTCCTGTCTAACATGACAGGTGTTTACAGGAACTGAAACGACCCAAGGACTTCATCTAAAGTTGGACTGTTCTACTTTGGTCCTTGAGGGCCACTACCTGCACCAACACACCTGGTTTGCATCAATTGGTGATTAACAGGCCCGGTGGCACAAAAAGTGGGTATACACCTAAGCCAAAGCCACGATGGGAGAGATAGTTTTTGTTGGCCTTTTCTGTCTAACCGCTGTTTGTGCACAAATAAATGATAGGATTAATAACGTAAACACATAACTGATACAGCCCCCCCCCCCCCCCCCCCCCCCAGAGATGTTGTCTCCTCACCTTTTTCACCCCTTACCTAGTTTCACGTCTGCTAGATGAGGAAGATAGATTTCCTGGCACACACCTTGTTTTCTAGTAAAATAATTGGCAGTGTGTTTCAAAGAACCCACATTCATTGAATCAGGTGTGTTGGAGCAGTGGGTTGAAAAACCCCGAGCTAAGGTCATGTCAATAGTCTGCTTCATGTTGAGACCTGAGAGTTATGATCCACAGCTCATGATTAAAGGTTCACACTCAGCTCCTACTCATGTGTTTAAGAGACCTGAACCTCTGGAGACATATACACAAAATGCAGATTCTCATGTTTAATTCAGCAGTGGTGGTAAGAAAAATCACCATTTGAAGGGCTCGTTTTCCACAAATCCGGGTAGAACCTGAAGCTATATTTGCAAATGAAATACCAGAAGGTAGATTTTGATTTGAAAACATGTTGCTGTGCTGGGAGCAGCACTCAGGCTACACCAGGTCTCCTTCATGGTCATTAAAGGTCACTGAGTGGCGCCATGTTTATGTTTGAACTTGATGATCTTCAGACAAATGAGCGTTTCATCAGAGATGGGGTGTAGCGGATCTCATTGTAAGACTCCTCTTCCTCTGGCTTCCTCTGCCTCCACCTGCCATCCTGCCCCGTGCGATGCAGCCACAGGATGAGGACCAGTAGAGCCAGCAACACCAGGCTCATGGCCATCGTCAGCAGAACTGCCTGCAGTAAACCTGAGGGTCTGTCTGGGGCTACAAACACAGAAAACACAATTAGATAGGGGAATGAGTGCAGTCCAGCAGAGTGAGGGTCAGTGAGAAAAATGCCTTAGCTAACCTGAGTGATTGTTCATTGTTCCCTGCAGAAGTCTGTGGTTTATTTCTGTAGCTCATTTGCTAAAATTAGCTTGCTATCGTAAAAGAGTGGACTCAACTAACACCGTTTGGCATTTGGACTTTGGGAAAGTGTTTGATTATGTGCCTCATGATGGATTGATGTTCAAATTACATAAATATGGTGTCGTTATTCAAATAAATGAAGCCTTTAGCTTGTAACTTTTCACATGCCTTTAATTAAATGTGGAGTCCCTCAGGGTTGTTTTCTGGCCTACATTATTATTTTTTTTAAATCCCATTGAAACCTCCCAAATTTAAAAGAACACTAAACTTTACCATCCAGTTTTTGTCTTTTATTAAAGGTTACGCAAACTGAAATGTTATCACCTTGGTCAAACAAATGGCTTTTAGGCTTCAGTGAAACCAAATGTGAAACATTGCAGGTAGGAAAGAAAAATGTCTGTCATCATTATTAAATAGAAATATTTTAGAGACAGAAAATGGTGAGAAATATTTGGGTGAAGTTGACAGGTTATCATTATTTATTAGGAAAAATATATTAAGTAAATACAATGATCAAATGAGCCTCTGTTTATTTTAGCTAAAAGTACAGTTTAATAATGTGTTGTGCAGAAGTTTGGTCCCCTCTTTAGGGCAGAGATGCTATTTAAAGAAGTAGTAAAAAGTATAGCAACAAATGACCCGTCTCCACTATCAGAACTTCCGGATAATTCACAGCATCTCCATTTCACTCGGCCAGCCCAAAGGGACCATTTTCCAAACCGTTTCAAGGGCCAAGCGAGTACCTGAACTGGGAGAATGTGCCCAATAGAGTCATTGGGCAGAGCCTGTGGTTAACTCATGCTGATTGGTTGTAACTCAGTAGGAAATTAAATCGACAGATGTCACCAAACAAGCCAGCATTTGTAAAATGTCAAGAGTTGCTGGTGATGCAGATTAGAAGGAAAACTAGGATGAATTAAATTAACTGTTTAGGCCCTAGGCTTTTTTTCTTTGGGCCCTGGCGCCTCCCAATTGGGGGCCTTTGGAGTTTCATGTCCCAAGTGTCAGTGATTGTTTGCATTCCCCGAGCACAGCTACAGCTACAATCAAAACAGTTTAGATTGTAAACAAAACAATTTTTGGTTTTTGATACATTAAGATAAAATAATACTTGAACTTTATTTTAGAAGAGCAGCCCTGTGTGAAAGTGCTGACAGGATGGAGGTTATGAGTTCAAATTCCATTTAGGAAATGTAGACAATTGTTTTATTTATTCCAGGGGTCCTCAACTAAATTTGTTCAAGGACACCAGAAAAGGTCAGATGCTCTTCTAAAATGAAGTTCAATATCATTGTATCTTAATTTATTACAATTTAAAATGGCCTTGTTTCCCATCTGGGCTGTTTGTGGTTTTAGTTGTTTGGAGAATATGGACAGTTGTAGATGTTTGGGACATGAAACTGCTGAGGCCCCCAATTGGAGGGTGTTAGGGTTAAACAGGTTTAAGACACATTTTAACAGAATTAAACCGTACTGTTAGTGAAGTCCGTGGAAGCCTTTTGGCACTGATTCATGACATCACTCACTGCTGAAATCTGCATCTGCAGTGATCTCTAATAGGAATGTGTTGGAGATTTGAATGTATTACTGTCTTAAATGTTCCTTTTTAAGGAATCATATGTTAATAAGTAAGCCACAGAGTTCTTTCTCCTTCTCTCTCTTACTGTGGAAAGCGGCTGATAAGCCCTGATGTTTGTCTGGTATGCTGTGGGGGTTGGTGAAATAGCCTGTCTGGCAACAGGTATCCATGGTTACTGACTTTCTGGCTGTCAGTCATAAATTAAGACTTCCTGTCTGGAATGTCCCACCTTAGCCTAAAAGCAACAGTGTTATTGGTTAAGTGTGGACAGTGATGGATTGTTCTTTGTCCTTGTTTCCCTGTGTTTCAATAAAACCAGCTGGAGAGAGAGAACGCGCCAGAGAGTTGATTGGAACAGGGCATAAACAGGTTCTGGGACAGTCTCTCTCTCCGCTGCCTCTCCTGCAGCGTATAAAACTTACTGACTTCTCTCCTGTGTGGTTCATTCCAGGATATAAAAATACCCAACAGAATGCATGCCTTGTAAGTTGTACTCTGGGGAGGAAATCCTCTGGTGAACCAGTTTCAGGAACTTGAAAACTGCCACATCAGAGGAAAGCGTCAGACAGCATTTGGACTACTTTATCCTGATATTTGGACATTTCACCTCTGATTGGCTAACAGCATCACAACTCTACCACTGACTCCATTTGCTTTGCAACATTAATGTTGTATATCCACAAGTAACAGAAGCCTAGAGGAGTTCTGCTATGTGGTGGAGTTGCTAATGACAACGGTTATCTTCCACCAGCTGTTTCCTGGACGCTAAACCAACAACAGCCTTCCCTGTCATGAGTCAAGATGGGTGAGTCCATGAATGTTAAGTGACAGTGTGATGTAGATCTGTCAGGCTTTTCTAATCCTAGAGTTTCACCGTCTATTTTCTATCACAAGCTAATGCAGGAGATAGGAGTAGGAGACTATTTTCATGTTCCGCCTGCAAGAATAAGTTTGAGTGACCAAAAACAATCAGAAAAAATGATTAAAAAATGTTTTTTCGGTGAACACCTTTAAGTATTATTATGCTCCAGTTCTTCACACCAAAGAATTATACTAATAACAATCTAGCCTAGATAGAGACATCCAGGAATACATTTTGTTGGCTTTGTCTGATTTCTATGGATGGTTAGATGATGCTTACCCTTGATCTCATCTATCAGACATATTTACCACCATAGGCCTATTTCCTGTCAGACACAGCTCACTAAGTGGTGGATTAACGAGGGAGGATTCCATTTAGAGAAGGTTAGGCTTGCACTGCTACAGTAATGGAATTCAGCCATTGTACAAACATAAGTACTTTTGAAGTAATTTATGTCTGTTTTTTTCCCTCCGCCAATTTATCCTCATGTAATCCCCTTTTCATCTGATTGAAATGAGCACCGTTATGGCTGCTCTCGTGGTCTGCCTGTATCTGTTCTGTCTACATGTGTGTGTGTAACCTTGGTCAGGCTGTGCTGCGGAATCAAGTTCCTATGCTCTGGTTCGCTGGAGCGCTGGCAATAAAGCTTTTTCTGATTATGATTCTTTTCTATGAAACATTTATTAAGCATTTTTAGTTTTTAATGTCTAAAATGTTAGCCCGATTTCAATTAAATATTCTCAGTAGCCATTGTTGCATTGGCTAACGTTGATTTGTTGTGGTGGCCATCTTGAATGGGGTTGATTCCAAAAGTGAATCGTTTGAAGACTTTCATCCATTGATCATTTTTCATTAGAAACCATCCAGATGATCACGAAATATTTGAGCAGTAGACACAAACGTATGTTTTTTGTAGCATCGCGAACCCTGTCTGCTGGGAAGGTCTGAGAAGGTTTGGATTGTCAGAATATTGTTGTTAAAATCATCTGAATTAAATACTCACTGCTGTAAATAGCCAGGTTGACGTAGCAGTTTTCTGTTCCCAGGATGTTGGTGGCAGAGCAGCGATACAAGCCCGACGTCTGAGAAGACACATTGACTATTTGGACCGAACCTGAAAAGTCCCCTGGGAGACGAGAGACACATCAGTGAGCTGCTGAGGGAAATGATCTGAGAACACAACTGTTTTCTGTGGGTTACAGAGGAATCAACATGGAAATGTGTAGTTTTTACTGTTCATCTCTGGAAAATGAATTAAAGGCTGTCCAATTATTGGGAAATAATGGCGGCTTCGTAACATATAACCATAAAAATCAGGTCTCAAATACATGGGACTTGGTCTAAGTCTCTGGGCAACGCCATTTTTGATGCCATGTTTCCTTCTACGGAAGCCCGTGAGGACAACATGTATTTAGTGATTTGTAAGAAGCGGTTCAAAAACTTCTGCCATTTATAAACATTGTTTTACACATTTACATCTTCACTCGTTGCCAGTTGTGTTTGGTGTGCTTGTCTTTTTGCTGAAGGTTGCACTCCCAGGGATTTTTGACCCTGATGGCATTCCATTCATAAGGTATCATCAGATTCACAAATCTGATGTAAAGTTACTCACAAGATGTTATTTGTCTTAGGAGCAAACTAACGTGAAAATTTTCAGTCATTTATTCCTCAGAATTCAAACTAAACTGTGTGCATCAGCCTATTGGTGGTTCAAGGGGTGGGGCCATAGGGGCATTGGCCCCAGCTGAAATCTGATTGGCTCCTGAAGTGCCCCTGTCCTGTCACTCATCCTTTGCGTGATGATCTATTTAGTGGTGGGTGCAATTCCAAGTCCAAACACTAGAGGTGCTAATGAGCCAAAATGGACTTTCTAGTGTGAAACTGTGTGCGCAGATGTTGGACTTAAGCCTAATTCATACTCCCCTGTCTGCATCGGGACAGACACACGCAACGCCATTATCCATCCTTGCTAGGGCTCTTCAGCAGGCTCGCAAGGTCGGGCGGAGTCAAACTCTCCTTTCTAAACATCCGTCCAACGAGATGGAGAATGCAAGCTTGTGATTGTGCCATTGCACCCTCAAAAACATAAAGAGAGCCAAAGATATCTAGCCACAGAAGCTTGAAAAATACCTCTGGGAAAAACTCTAAAATTATGAACGCTTTATTCACCTGTGACTTGAGGAGTGAAATGATACATAGCAAGCGTTTTATTCACGGATGGAAATGACGGGAAATATGGGTTTAGAGGTGGCAAGCACGTGAAGAGGTGGAGGAGGATTTATCCGTGTTAAAAAGTCTCTGAAATACAAAAACACAATATCAACACAATATAAACACACTATCTTGAACCAGATGCAGGACAGGATACCACAGAACAGCGCTACGCCCTTTGTTGTCCTGGCGCCTGGCGGGGAGTTGCTTTGTGTAGCAGGATGCTTGTTTGCAGCGGGGGGATGCTGCTTAACCAATCACCTGTAGAGGGTGCCCTGTTATAAGGACAAGGGTTGGTTCCCTTGATGATTGTCTCTCACTAAACTGGCTTTTACTTCTGGGTTGTCGAGCCGGTCGTGTATGTAGCAGGGCTTGGAACTCTCAGTGCAAAGTGTAAGTAAAATTATCCCTTTGGCGTTGGCAGCTTAGGAGTCTGTGTTAATCATATTAATGCTCTAGTGGTGGCTGGTGTCTGACCGATCAGCTCTGGGACGTACCAGTGTTTCGCTGGCTCAGGTGGGCAAACTCATGCCTAAGGTATGTACCCTGCCCTTTTCACCATTCAGCTGCTCATTTTAATTAGCTTTTGACCTCCACAGACTCTGCTGTTTTGCTTCTCCAGATTTTTATGATTAGTAACAGGTGTTACCCCAAATTCTGCGACCCATCACAATTTGTGACCCCAGGGGGCAGTGTTGCATTTTGTTGCGTCTGCACATCCTGAATTGGCATAAAAGAAGAAGATGCTACAAACCGTAAACGACGTAAGCTTTGAGGGAGTTGTGCGGCGTGGACCATGGAAATTAAAAAGAGTGTTTATCAATGTTTATTGCAAACAAACGGGACAATAAATGCAGTAATAACCATGGCTTTGACAAGAAATGTTTGCTAACGTCAAACATTGATTTTACAACATGCGAGGTCCGCAGGTAAAATGTTCTGAACTTCCATTTATTGAAATAAATCGTTATCCACATCCTCAGTTTATTAGAAACCACTGCAGATTATCTGGTTCACTCCAATGCCACTCATATGTACTGGTGGAGATAAAAGGGAAATAAAATGACACAAACATCCCGAAACACCTTTTGTTGTTATTATCTTTAGTGAAAATTAAAGACATCTGCATTATTACTGAGATGCAGATGGTCACTTTCTGTGATAGCCACTCTCATATTGTGTGACCATGGTCCCCGCCGCACAACTTCCTCAAAGCTTACGTAGTTTACGGTTTGAACGTAGCATCTTCTTCTTTTATGCCAATTCAGGATGTACAGATGCAACAAAATGCAACACTGCCCCCTGGGGTCACAAATTGTGTTGGGTCGTAGAATTTGGTGTAACACCTGTGTCTCCAGCAGCAGGAACTTTCGAGCTGTTTAGCTATTTGCTGTGCGTGGCGCACGTCTGGCACGCACCTCAGCTAGACTGATTGCTCTTTTAAAATAAATTATTTTGCTTTATTTTTATTTATTTTAGACAGCCTGCAACTCCTGGCTGGTGAACTAGCAGGCTGTCCATCTTTTTAATACATTTAGCCAACTGTTTGTTGTTTTTGTTTTTAACCGTTTCTTTCTTTAATTGCAGGCTGCTTGCTCCCAGTGGGCACCATCGGCCTTGGTGGTGGGAGTTTTCCACGTGTGTGTGTGTGTGTGTGTTCCTTCATCGTGCATCTCCTAGATGCATGGCACTGTGACGGGTGACTTTAGTTTGGTTTGGTGTGTTTTGTTTGGTTGGCCGAATTGGACCCTGGTAAGCGTCAGCCTGTTCAGATTAATCTAGTATCTTTTCTTTCTCTTTTATATTTTAAATAAAAGCATGTCATTGGTCAGACCACGTCTCCTGCCTGATCTGTAGAGTGGACCTGTGTGTCCTTATTTCCTGGGGTGCAACTCTCCAGGTGGCATTGTGTGTTACTGGCAACTACAGCCAACCCCCGTATGCCACATTTGCAACACTCTCCAGGAGAAGGAGGAGTCCGAGAGCAAAATGTCTCTGTCCATGCGTGCGTATCTGTCCCTTTTGGAGCTGATGGAGAAGTATAAGTTAGGCTGAATACGTGGCCCCTGTATAAATGCTGTAGCCACTTGAAGGCCCCTGTCTCCGAAAAATCCTAGATCCACCACTGCATCAGTCTAATTATGTTTTTAGGATCTGACATCTGAGATTTATAATCTCTCTCTCTCTCTCTCTCTCTCACTCTCTCTCACTCTCACTCTCACTCTCACTCTCACACTCACACTCACACTCACTCACTCACTCACTCACTCACTCACTCACTCACTCACTCACTCACTCACTCACTCACTCACTCACTCACTCACTCACTCACTCACTCACACACACACTTTGGAAGAGCTGTGTGACACTGACCTTCCATGTTGATGGGAAGTGGGATTTCCTCTGGATTTACTTTCTCCCAGCGGATGTCCGGTGTCGGGACACCCTCTGCCACGGAGCAGGACAAACGGACGCTTCCTCCCAGGTTGATGTCTCCATCCCATTTGCAGTCAGGTAAGGAAGGAGGCTCTGCAGGAATGAACCCAAAGCTATGTCACTTTTTACATTTCAGATGTGACTTCCACTCTACCTCAGTCCAGCTGTTGGAGTGAATAGAATTGTGGTTTTATTGTCTTAAAAGGCATCAAATACCATCTTTAAATCTTCATGGAAGAATTATTTTTCTTTTTTTTTTCATAAATTGTCATTCACTTTCCCCTGGTTTCACTGCTTTCACAGAACAGGACATTTGTTTTTCCAAGAGCAACAATGGTGACACCAGTGAGGAAGATCCTTTTGATCTTTGTATTAAAATCCATTTTTCCAATAAAAACACAGAAATCACTGGAACATTTTAATGCGAGGTCGGTGAATCTCTAGAGGCGACACCAAACCCGAAGGCCTTAAAGCAATTATTCTGCCTTACATTTCTTTAACTATTTTTAGGTGTTGGACAAAAAGTGATGCAGTCACAAACACATGAATAAATGTCTCGGCTCCCTGCAGCTTATTGGGACAGAAGGCTTTAGTAAGGTTTAGTACCCAGAACACTGAGCTCCAGCTCCCCGATGCCTGGATCTGCCTTCTCTGGTAGATTGTTGACCATGCAGCGGTACGTCCCTGCGTCTGACAGCCGAGTGTAATTCAAGATGATGTCGGCACTCAGAGGAAGACCTGTGATAGAGACCCATCAGCTTTAATCTGTTTTGTTTGAGCCAGAGAAAGAAGAACTAGTTCTAACATGTACCTGTAAAAGCCACCCTGCCTATGAGGGACGGGTCTTCTATCACCTGCCCGTAGTCGTAAACAATCACCTGGAAGTCATTTAGAAGGTTGTTATGCTCTGATCAGCTTGTTGCTGTGTCAGAGGGACATCATGGGTGTGTTTGAACATCCAGACCTGTATGGGGGTCTCTGGGCTGGAGGAGCGAGCCAGGGTCCAGATGATGTTGAGCGTGGAGAGGCGGGAGGAGGTGTAAAAAGAGCAGGGTAGGATAACGGAATCTCCTCGAACCACCTCCAGGCTGGACTCCCTTATGTTCACCTTGAGGGCAGCTGGAACCACGGTGGAATAAGCAGCTTCAGACTTCTTCACCATTCTAAGTTCCTTACATGCTTTATTGTCACAAATCTGCTTCCAACTGTAGGTTTCCTGTTGTTTAGCTCGTTCTCCTGTCCCTCATCATTACTGCAGTAATGAACCTCCTCCTCTGACACCTCCCCAGGCCATTTACAATGTGTGTTTGTGTGTGTTGGGGTGGGTGATTCAGTGTGCACATCAGCTGTTAATTACACTTGGCAGATTTGAGGGGGAGCCAAAGTGATCAGAGTGAGTAGAACAACAACCCGCTTCACTTCCTTAGTAAATCAGCAGTTTTTAAACCATCTAAATGAAATGAGCCTCTGTAGTTAAATTAAACATGTTCAAATGGAACCTGGTTAGTTCAACAAAACAACATTGCATTGTAAATTCTTTCACAAGTTAGAAATCCAACCATGGGAAACATTTTGTGCATGTTATTAAGTTTCCCTCCAGTTGTTCTTTAAACAAAGCTTTTATGAAAAATTGAAGAAACTTTATCCCTTGCAAATTCTCCAAAACCCTCAAAGCTGTAGCTGAGCAGAGGTTGCCACCATTATTTCTCATCTTTGTCCCAACAGACTGCCGACCAGCCAACTCACCATTCTCCCAAACGCTGAAGCACACACACACGATCCAGAACATCCATCCTCCAAGAGAATCCATGCCGAACGTCCTCCCAGCCTCACAAACTGGTAACCAGATGATCCAGGCATGCATGATTAATTTACTGAATGATGTGAACAGCCCTCCCCTGTCCTCCCCCTTTTTCATTCTCTTTTCTCAGAAACACTGGAGAGCTGTCAACGAATACTGCAGGAATGCTCCAATTAACCTTTTATCGTGATTTTTTTTAGCTTTTCTGATTTATGGAATTCCTCTCTGTATCTCATTTTGTGTGTTATGGTTAGGTGCCAGGGTGTGGTGTTTATATGCTGTTAGTTGTTGAATTCAGACCTAAATTCTATTAAATTTTGTTTTTTCATACAGCACCATATTTCACAACACATGTCATCTCAAGTCACTTTACAAAGCAACCATTCTAATTGGACCTATTAAACACTGGATTTAGTTCAGTTCAACATTTCTAAGGAAACCCAGCAGATTGCATGAAGTCACTAAACTGTGTCAGAGACTTTGCAGCAATTGCCATACTAAGCAAGCATGTGGCGACAGTGAAGAGGAAAACTCCTTTGAAAGGAAGAAACCTCCTGCAGAACCTGGCAGAACAGCTGAAATAATAAAAAAAAATGCACTAAGTAGCAGAGAGTGGAAAAGTAGTCAGTATGGCCTTAAGCAGTCTAAGCCGCGTTCACACCAAATGCTGAACGAATGCAGTGAGGATTCCGTACGGCTTCCACATAGACCAAAAATCATTGAGTCCAGTCAGAGCATTCACACTGGCTGCAGTGATTTGTGGATCCAAATTCAAAGCTCTGGAAAGTTTCCGCATGGAGTTTATTTTTTCTGGACCAAAGGTTTATTACTTTATTCCTAAATGCTAATTTAATGCCATTCAGACCAGGCGATTGGCTAAGCAGGTTCCTTTTCAGAGGTTCTGGTCCAAACGTGACAACTTCAGCCTTGTCTGGATTTAACAGACAAGCCTGTAATCTACTTAACTGATTAGGTTCATCAGGGTTTATGGATAAATATAACGGAGTATCGTCAGCATAACAGTGGAAGTTTAACCCATCTTTTATATAGAGCCTTTCAAGATGAAAATCACGATGCGCTTCACAAGAGCAAAAATAAAAAAATAAAGATTTCAAAAGGATTTTTTAAAATATCATAAAATTGGGAAAAGAAAAAATTGTGATTAAAAAACGTAAGAAAAGGGAAATAGAAAATTAATAAGAAAGTGGTAATTAGTGGATCCCGGGAAAGGCAGAATTGGTAGAAAGAGCTGAATGAGGTGAAGGGAGTGATGAAGAATTGACTGAAGGTCACACCAAAGCCAGCCTGAACAGGTGAGTTTTCAGCTGCTTGTTAAAGGAGACCACTGAGTCCACTGATCACAGGCTCAGGGGGAGAGATTCCAGAGTCTGGGGGCCATCTGATTATTTTACCAATTTGAAGCCTTTATATAGTGAAAAGAATTGGTCCAAGCACTGAACCCTGCGGTACTCCACAAGTAACCCTAGAGTAGGAGAAGATGCTGCTGTTGTGTCCTTGGGCAAGGGCACCTTGCCTGTTGGTGGTGGTCGGAGGGACCGGTGGCGCCAGTGTTCAGCAGGCCTCGTCTCTGTCAATGTTCCCCAGGGCAGCTTTGCTACAACCCCCACCAGCGTGTGAACGTGAGTGTGAATGGGTGAATGATTGACTGTGTTGTGGAGCACCCTGGGGGGTTGTAGACCCCTAAAAAGGTGTTATACAAATACAAGTCATTTACCATTTACCAAGATTTTGCATGTACAAGAACCAACTGAAATCTGTCAAACAGGTAGGATTTAAAGCAGCCTAGCACTGTTAGTTTGATCCCTACAACATGCTCAAGCCTTTCTAAAAGAACATTGTGATCAACTGTGTCAAAAGCAGCACTGAGATCTAACAAGACTAGAACAGACACAAGATTCTTATCTGAGGCCATGAGAATATCATTTGTAACTTTTACTAATGCAGTTTCAGTGCTGTGATACTCTCTAAAACCAGACTGAAATTCCTCAAACAGATCTTTAGTGTTTGGATGCTCACATACTTGATTGGCCACTATTTTCAAGGACTTTAGTTCAAAATGAAAGGTTAGATATTGGTCTATAATTCATTAGGTCATCTGGATCCAGAGGTTTGTTAAGTAGAGGTTTGATCACAGCAACCTTAAAATCCTGTGGTACGTATCCATTTACTACGGATAGTCTGATCATGTCTAAAATGGGGCAGTAACCAAATGCTTCTTTTAAGGCACACTAAGCAACTTTTGTGCTAAAATGACCCTTTACTTGGTAAATGAAAAGTCTCCCAGTTCTTTGTGAGCAGGATTCCCTTGAAAGCAAGTTCAGCCTCTCCGGACCACTACCCTGAAGTGATACTAACTCTTTACAGCAGTCCATTAAGCCTGATTTATACTTCTCCATCTGTGTCAATGCAGAGACACGCAACACCAAGGGCTCTCCGACGGGTTCCCAGGGGGTGACGGAGGCATGCCCAAAATTTTTAACGTCGATGGAAAGTGACAAGCTTGTGACCGGTCAGGATGCTACCTCTTGTAAATTCATCACCAGCACTGCCGTTGCCCGATAAAAAGTAAAAAGATATTTAGAGGCAGACCCAGAACAGAAACGCTTCATTAAAAAAGTCCAAAAATATGAATCTTTATTCACCAGTGAGTGAAGGAGTACAAATACGGAGCAAATGTGAAAGAAAACGATGGGAAACGTGGGTTTAGAGGTTGCGACCACATGAAGAGGTGGAGGAGAACTAAAGACAAATTTGTCAGTGTTTCAAAGGCTCTGAAATATATAAACACATTAGTAAATATCAAATAATCAGATACATGAGTGTTATGGTGTCAGGATACCACAGAAAAATGCTATCCCCTCCGTTGTCCTGGGGGGGGGGGGGGGGGGGGATTGCTTTGCAACACTCCGCTGCCTGAACAGAAGTTCGAATGTGAAGACCTCTTCAACACTCGTCTCTCCGTTGTGGAGCTCACGGAGAGGTATAAACCAGGCTTTAGGGTTTTCACATTTGGGTCGGCACAGAAAAAATCGTTTGTCAGCATTCCACACTTTTAAATGTGTGGTTGACTGACAAAACATTTTAAATCATTATTTCTAATTATAATCAGTCACTCTAAGTTTTCCATCCAGGATGAACATGAAAACTGTCTCCTACAACTATCTCCTGCATTTGCTTCTGATAGAAAATAGATGGTGAAATGCTAGGATTTGAAAATCCTCACACTGTGATGTCACTCTGTGAATTTGCATTCATGGCTTCACCCATCATGACTCGCGCCTGCCCACAGGAAGGCTTTTTTAAAAACATTTTTGCAGCAAGGAGAGAGAGTGAAGAGTGTGTTGGTGATAACGACTTTGCAATATAGCTGAATGCGTTCTGCTAGCCAATCAGAAACAAGATGTGCGAATATCATTGATAATTATGACAGATGCTGCTGTTTTAAGCCCACGTGTGCACCAGCAAATATCTGCATCTCAGAACAGGAGCATCATAGTTTTTTTTATTACTCATAAGGCATTGATTCACACCGGGAAACATGCCAAATGTGTTAAATAAACAAGTAAACCACACCTTTAATACTTTTTACTGGATATGAATAAAAACAGCACTCACTGCCTACTCAGATCTTCCACCAGAGGGAAGTAGACCTGTTTTGCACCCATACAACTAGCTTAGTCTTACACACACACACACACACACACACACACACACACACACACACACACACACACACACACACACACACACACACACACACACACACACACACACACACACACACATGGTTAGTTTTTTGTACTATCAGTAGTTTTTTTATTTTATTCAAGACAGTGGAAGATCTGAGGACATCAGTGGAGTGAAGAAACAATCAGAGACAAGTTTCTGACTCCTCCAGCGAGTTGTGTGGAGATGAGGAGATCCTCCAGATCTGGCCTGTGGGCTCAACAAACTGCCTTTTGATGGATTTACATAAAGACTTTGTGACTCATATGTGCTGATCTGCCTGCAAAGTTCTCCTGTGATCATCCTAATTTTACTGAGTTCAGAGTGAAAACGCCTCAAGTTGGCTCTCATTTCTGCCACAAGGGCCAAAATTAAAGCTAGTGAGAATTAAGGAGCTTCACACAATATTAAACCCTCATATAGTTGCATTCTGTGATCATTTGCATTCATTTAAAACTGTTTTACTGTGGGAGGAGCCTGCAGAGTTCATCACCAGAGCTCTGAAACCAGGATGACCAGCCGAGCAGCAAGTTTTCAAACTTCACCTTTTTGCCAAGTTCCAGTTGCTGACAGCTGTCTCACTCACTCACTTCTTGCAGCTAGTTTTGACTCCTGTCATCTCTCTTTCCTGTTGATTTGTTACAATGGCAACTTCAGGAAGGTGGTTCATTAGTTACTGTCTGTTCTGTCATTGAACAACATATCATCACTCTGGATTAGGTTCCTTTTCTGGTTTAGGTAACAGATCATGGATCCCATGTCTGACATCTTGTTGCATGGGTCAGATCACAGCTCAGGGGTGTCAGACTGTGGACCAAGGGCCATTTGTGGCTCTAGATGGCAACAATTCAACATTTTTCAATTTTTGGTGCAGATACTCATGTTGATACACTTTCATGTTCAGATAACCAGAGACGAACACAGAGTTACCCAGGGTAACATTTATCTACGAGGCTAAAAAACTAGTCAATAAACCCATCAGGTGAAGGGAGGCTTTTATTTTATTAAATCTGACTCACTTTATCTAGATTGATAAAGTAGCATCTTGCAGTTGATGGAGATTTGTGGGATGACCAGCCAGGGCACGAAGCTCCCGTTTCACCACCTTCCAAAGATGCTCTATTGGGTTGAGATCTGGAACAGGCTGCCAGAGGACCTCAGGGTCGTAGAGAATGTTCATGCTTTTAAGAGCAGGCTTAAGACTCACCTTTTTACCATAGCTTTTAATTTATGTCTGTTTTTAGCCGCATTGCTTGTTTTATTTTTATTTTATTTGCATTTTTGTTTTATTAGACATTTGTCTTAGTTTTTTTACTGTCTTTTAATAACTTTTTAGTTATTTTACTATCCATAATAGCTCTTAATTTTTTTATGTTACTTATTTGTTCGTGCCAGTGTTGTCCACTGTGGGTCCCTCTGCCTCAGGGGTGGTGGTCGACTGTGGCGGCCCAGGCGCACCTCGAGGAGTGCTTAGGCGGGGGTGGGGGTTCTCGCCCTCGGCCTAGTGTTTACTTATATTTTACTTATTTATTCATAGTTTTGTGTGTGCATGTGTGTATTTGTTGTTCGTGTGTGTGTTAGGATTGATAAATAATTACCAAACAGTTGGGGGGGGGGGGGGGGGGGGGGGGTTGCAACTGTCATAATTAATTTTATATATTTATATTTATTTAATATACGATTATATTTTTATATTTTGGGGGAAATGATGAGACTTGGAGTTCCTCCATCTTGTTGGCCAGTGATCTCACATTGCCCATTATGATCGATGGAAGAGGTGGTTTGAATTTTGTCTTTCTCGGTCTCCGTTTTGCTCCCGCTCTGCATCCACACTTCTTGCGTTTTAGCTCATTTGGGATTTGTGGCTTTAATTAAGGTATTATTTCAGCCTTTCCAATGTTAATCAGCTGCTCCTGTTGTAAACAGCTTGTTGCCATGGTTACGCATCATAAATGCTCAAAAAGTGAAAAAAGCTAAAAAATAGCTGTAAAAATCATCCAAGCTTCACAGCACCAGAAACAGAAAAGTAAAGTGTCCAAAAAATAGTTTTTCTTGAGAAACTCGAAGAAAAAATGCCCAAGAAAAGGCAAAACTTGCATATAGTCAACAGAGCTACTCCAACATGCAGCCACCCAGAGCAGCGCAGTTCCAGAACTCTGATGATAAAAGACGAAGACAGTAAAGAAGCACGAGGCAGCCAGCCCATTTCCAGGTGCCGTAAGCTATTTATTGGAGGTCAACATGAAGTCATAGTAACAGCTGACCAAGATGTTAAGAAAAGAGTCGCATCAGGAGGCTGACATCTTCACCTGGACGTGAGTTCTCCTGGGTTCCACATGTTCTGACTGGTTCCCATAATAAGTCTACTGGTGAGAATCCAAACCAAGGTTTGGCTCTTAAATAATAAACAACATCCAACAGGTTTGTGCGTTCCAGCTGCAGGATCAAGAACTTATCACTGAAGTGGGAATTGGCTAAACCGGTGTCATCTCCATGTACAGAAATATACAGCACTGTGTTCATCCACAGTGGGTTAACGCTAACCAACAGAAATGGAACGTGTGTGTGTGTGTGTGTGTGTGTATAAAAACACATGTTTAATCTATTTTGTCACCAGCTGAGGATTACAAGACCCATAAAATGTAACACAGTTTTATTCCTTTCCCACCTGTGATCCTAGATAATAAAAAAAAAATTACACACACATAGACATACATGGGGACACACACACATTTGAGGGTAAATATTTCATTTTTGGGGGATAAATTAAATTGAATTGAAGTTTCTTATGAGATCTGGCCACAATAAATACAATAAAAGAGGATGAGAGGAAAGACAGATGATGAGACTGATGGACAGGTACATGGAGTGAGTTCTGCCTCTTCCCCTTCAGGGTAACTGGGAGTGACCTGGTGGCAGGAGGATCCGGACCGATTGGATTTGTCCGGTGAGGCCTCTCTGTCTGATGCTGTGTTGACATGGCGGTACCGCCTTCTCACAGCAGCATGGTGACGGGTTTTTCCAGAAACCTGCGAAACTCAGCGAGCCACTGGGCCCCAACCGCCCCATCCACCACCCGGTGGTCGCAGCTCAGAGTCACCGACATCATGCTGGCTACGTCAAACCTAAAGAACCAAACACACTCAAGTCAGGCAGGAGCTTTGAGCAGCGGCGTGTTTGGAGCTCTGCTGTAGTGGTACCGACCCTTTCTCGTTGTCAGCGGGCATCAGACGCTTCTCTGAGCCTCCTACAGCCAGGATACAGGCCTGGGGAGGGTTGATGATAGCTGAGAAGTTCTTGATACCAAACATCCCTAAATTAGAGATGGTGAAAGTTCCTCCCTGGTGGAAAACAAGACAGTTTGTTATTAGATAAAGAATTGTTAGGGTTAGGCGTCACCTGGACACTGTGGAGTACCTGGAACTCGTGCGGCTGCAGTTTGCCGTCTCTAGCTTTGGCAGCGAGCGCCGACACGTCAGAGCTGATGGCAGCCAAGCCTTTGATGTGGGCGTTGAACACAATGGGTGTGATGAGGCCGTTGACCGTGCTCACTGCTATGCTCATGTCCACCACGTGATTCCTGGAAGCATTTAAACTCGTCAATAGAAATATAATCAATAACCACTCTGATTCCCCACTACGAGGTTGAGAAACGTGTGATTGGAGTGCCCTCTGCTGGCACAAAGAGGAAAGTGCTATATAAAAACTGACATTAATATTTAATGTTTGGTTGTTTTTAATAACTGAACAGTGAACATTTAATGGTGGGGTAGAGATGTGTTTCTGGAGTATTTTTTAGCCATATCGCTCCTACCAGATGCTCTTCACATACTGATAGAAAGCTATCGTCTCAGAAACGTACAATCCTGGGAAAAACTCTTCCCAACCTTGTGACGGACCCGTTCTTAATGACTGGATCATAATTCATCCATCAAACCGCTACAGTGTCTGCCACCACATCTGACGGTGAGGACACTTAGAGACCGCAGGTCTGGACAAATGCTTACTCACTGGCGAATAACCGTGTCCATCCAGGAGGAGTTGCACTCAGGAACCTTGAGGCAGGCCAGAGCGCTGGCTTTGATGATAAAGTCATTCACACTCAGCTTGATGTTCTGGGCTTTTACCTCCTGGAGAGCAGAAAGAGGATGCTCATTTGTCCATCAGTCCTACAAAACTCGGTGTGCAGACACGAGCAGCGCTCACCTCATTCAGCTCTTTTCGAAGCTGCAGCACCAGGTCCATGTTGACGTCTACAGACAGATAATAGTGTGGGATGGTTTGCTTCGACTGCATCAACCTCTGAGCAATGACCTGGAGGAGAGACAAATATACGCACTTCAGTGTTGATTCATAATTCATCGCAGAGGGGTGAGGACTGCTGATTGAGTCGGTTCTGATAAATGGAGAGTCCAACTGCAGGGCGAAATATGGAAACCCGGGTCAGAGATAACAGAGCTTAGCTGTGAAAAAGCCTCCGGATGTTTACATCAAAGCTCTGAGCCCAGCAGATCAACAACCTGTACAGGAGGAAGCATCAGAAACCCACCAGCAGCCAGGAGTGTGTGTGTGTGTGTGTGTGCGTGCGTGCGTTCGTGCGTGTGTGTGTGTGTGCTCTTACTCTGCGGATGTTGCTGATGGGGATATCTGTGAAGGTGCCAGCTGGAGCGGTGGCTGCAGCGGGTAGGGGAGCAGCTCGACCAGCAGCTGCAGCAGGAGCAGCTGCTGCAGCCTGCTAACAAATAAAGTTTTCATTAGAATGAAAACAAGCTATTCTGTCACATGATCGCTGATGTCACAGTTCAGCTGTGACACGATGAGTCATCATGTCCTTCTGAAGTGTGTTTCTGTGTAAAGGTTAGAATCCCAGAGCATCCTGGGACTCGAAGTGTTTGCTTCCTGCCACAAACTGATTATAATGCTTTTTTAAAATGATTTTATGGGCAACAGTAAATTGTCGCATGGGCAAATTTAGGCCCACAGGCCTCCAGTTTGACACATGTGGAGGACACGGTTATTTAGGCAGGAATATTGGTTGCTTGGATTTGACGTCTAGATGCACCAGAAGAGCTACGTTTGACAGCTGTTGGTCAAGTTTACTCCTGAAGTAGAATAAAACACTCTATATGAGCATATTTAATCATGTTTGTTCAAACCGATGGCAGCAGAACACTTTAGTCTGGGCTTGGACAAGCCGCTAGCACTATAGATGCACCGTTTTGAAGCCCGATACCAGTTACCAACCTGTCAAAACTGAATTCTTTATCCTCTGAGTTGCTTGAAATGTTTCACTGTGGAGGTAAAATCTTCATCATGGATACTTTTACCCCCCAGAAATAAAGATTTTTAAATTTCAGACCAGGGCCGGCTACTGGGCCTTTCCACTGGATGCGTACCGTCCTCAAAGCGTGGTATGCAGCATATAGCTGCTGTTACAGCGGATGGGTGCGTTTCCACCAGCTGCAAAGCGTCGCGTCACGTTGATAAATATACGCTTCAAGCCCATTTTTTACGCGCTATGCTTCCAGAATGTGTCAAGCTCAGCAGTTCAGATCGGGCCAGACAGGAAGTAAGACATGAAAGCAGTTTAAAACATTTGGAAACGTTCAAAATAAAAGACATGTGCAGATTTCCTAATGCTTGACTATTAAAGAAAAACAGGATGTGGCCTTTGAAGCTGATGTAAACAGAACAGAAAATAGAGCACAGACCTTTCTCCGTGCTTGTTGTTATGTGACCTACCAACATCACACGAGTTGTGATTCTCCTGGGATATTCTGAGCTCGCTGGACCAGCATCGTGGACATTTTCACTGCCTATTCACCTCCGATCATCACCACTGAGCTTGTGGGGAAAACGCGTCTATTATCTTATGCACCGCTTACACATCTAGTGGAAAAACCCAGCGAGGGGTGCTTTTTCTTATCTTTTTTGAACACAGCAACACACTTCAGTCTCCTCAAATAAGAAATGTTATGTAATTAATAAAAATGAGAGCTCAGAAGATTTTCTCTTACAGGTGCAGCCTTTGCTGGAACGAAGCTCTCGATATCTTTCCTGGTGACGCGTCCATCTGGACCCGAACCTGATGAAAGAAATACCACCATATTTCTGCTCCTGCTGTTGTATTTCTAGAGCTGCTAAATGTTTGTTTGCAGGACACGTTAGCCAAATTTGCCGTGGTTACATACCGCTAACCTGCGCCAGGTCAATTCCCTTCTCAGCAGCAAGTTTTTTGGCAAGTGGGCTGGCAAACACTCGGCCCTTCCTTGATGCTGCAGGAGCAACAGCTGGAGCAGCAGCCGGAACAGCGCTGGGGGCCGGAGCCTACAGCCGGCACAAAAACAGGCCTTAATAAAAGGGCTAAACTTATCAGGTTTCTAGGATGATCTGCATGGAACACAAGAAGGAAATAAACATCATCACTCAGCCAAAACCAACAGTATGGAGCCAGGCAGAGGGAGGACATCTGGACTGTTGAAAACTCTGATCAATGCCTAAAACATTCCATGTTCTCGGTGCATGTGTGAGCACGTCCTGAACTTTCTGGGTGTCTCACCGCTGCAGCAGCAGGGGGTGGAGGAGACGGCGGCACAGACACCTCTGCTACTCCGGTCTCTACGTAATCCTTAAAGGCAGCAATGTCACTTTCTTTTTCCACGATGATGCAGAGCGGCGCTCCAAGAGGAACATCCCGAGTTCCCTCTGCCACCAGGATCTTAGCCAGATAGCCCTCCTCCTGCACCTCGAAGCCTGCGACACATTAGAGATGGGATAGATTTTCATCTGAAATAGTCTTTAAAGAGTAATTAAACCCCCCAAAAAACGTTTTTTTTTTTTGCTTACAAACTGTCTAAGTGGGTCTTTACAAATGCAATCTTTCTGTTTGTGTGCATTTTTTGACATGTTTGTGTAAACTTGCTTAAATCTAGAGTCTAGGTCTGAAAACGTCTCAGTGCTGCCCCCTGTGGCAGAACAGCGGCTACTGCGTTTTAAACTTGTGATTGACTGGGGCTGGAACAGTCTCCTCCCACTCCTCCCCCCTCTCCAGATGGAAATTCCCCACACTTGGCCATGCCACTCCGTGCCTCCAGGCAAAGCCCACTTTCATGGCATTTTTCAAATCTTGACTAGGGGTGGAGTTATGTTTTCTGATGGTGTGCAGTCCCTCTTTAAGTAAAACATTAACACTAAAAAAAACTGGATAGTATGGGATAACCGAGTCAGCCTCAACAACAGCTTTCCAAAACGTTCCAGGTCCTTTTACCGATGGTGGCTTTGTCGGTTTCAATCTCAGCCAGCAGATCTCCTTCACTCAACTTCTCTCCGACCTTCTTCTCCCAGCGCTGAACCGTTCCCATCGTCATGGTGGGAGAGAGAGCAGGAAGTGCCACCTGTAACAAACGTGGAGACTTGGTTCATTAGAGGACCAGCTCATCACTCTCCAGTGTGTCCTGAACTAGGATCGTCTGTAAAGGCCAAGTTAGTCGTGACATCACATGCGACGTCATGTGAGCGGTGTTGGGAATGACGATGATCTACAAGCACATTAGATTTTACCTTAGTGACTGAATTGTTGTGGCGACTTGGGATAAAGCGATAAATCAGGCTGACAATGAGCTGATTTAAAGTCCGGCACATCTGCGGGCAGCCCAGTGCCGCTGCTGATTTTTATTTATGTATTTAGACTCTTTAAATGCATTGGCTTAATAAATGCTCTAAAACATAACTGTCAACTGATTTTTCTTTCAGTTCACATGCTTTTTAATAATACCGGGCCTGTTTATTGATCTGTTTTATTAAGTTTGATTTTGCACAATTTGAAGATGCAGGAGTTGGAAAATTTCAGAGTTCAAAAACCAGTTCAGGTTCAGAAACGTTGAGCATCAGCTAGGGCTGAATGATATTCAAAAACGCATACAGATAAAGGAATATTCATAATGATCGATAATTACTCATAAATATTTTTTACATGTAGAAAATATATTTTAATGCTGCCCTGGCCACTTTATGCTATTCCTTAATTAACTACTTTAAATAAAGAACAGAAAACGTAGTTAAATTCAGTATTTTATTTAAACATCTTTATTTTACCAGGACTGGATGGTTACAGGAAAAGAATGAATTGTGTGAGTTTTTCCAGAAAAAAAATAAAAATCAATATTTCAGTTCAAATCCTGATTTTCTTCAAATCAAGGTTCAGCTGCAGCACATTATCCCCCACATACAGTGATATTTACAAATCTGACTTCCTACCATCCTGTTGTCATTCACTGCCTCACTTTTCAGTAGCGTTGTTTATTTATTTCTTCCTCTTTCACCGATTTGTCCGCACCGATATTTACTCGTCCCTCACGTTAATGTAATAATTGCTCCTGGCATTCCGCGCACACACGTCACAGCGATCGAAAGCGAGCTGCCCATCTGTGTGTGTGTGTGTGTGTGTGTGTCACTCACTTTGGCTCCTCCAACTGTAGCTATTTGGCTTTTCACATGTTCAAACACATTTCTCTGGAACTCGTAAATCTCCGAGCGTGTGGGTGGGGCAAAAGATACGCAGAGAAGTCTGTGCCGTCTTTCTTTATTTAAAGTGACTGTGTGTATTTTCCCTGGCAATAGGGGGAAGTACATACCTAAATCATTGCAAGTAAGCAGTATTTATGTGTTTGAGTAAAACCTTACTAATGGATGGCCTTTAGGGTCAAAAATTCCTGGAAGCATGGACGTAATTTTGACTTTAGATGTAGGGGACACAACTGGCATGAGGACGGGTGGTGGGGTGGTGGTGTCTTTATAGTAAGTATACAAAACATATGTATAAAACTAGTCTAGAGGCTCTTTTATGCAATGTCAAGAATGCAGAACTGTCAAGTACACAGGTGGCAGGAACGGCCAATCACATGTTAGCAAGTATCAGCAGAGCCAATAGCTGAGCTTATGGACGGTTCTAATAGGAAACAGGCTTCACCACAAGCAGTTGTTTTCCGCTTGGTCCTAGTGCTCACCCAGTGTCTATTTAGCTTCCTGGTCATAACAAATAAAAATCATCGATTTGCCTACGCTACAATAATTATAAACTTTTACAAGCTGATGAATCTCAAAGTAGGTGACTGGCATAGTTGAAACAGTGTTTCAGAAACACCCATCATTACTTTTCATTTAAACTGCAGTACAACGTGTGTGTGTGTGTGATCCAGGGCGTAAGGCAAGGCAGATTAGAAAATAGCGTTTTTAGCCCCGTTGACTTGCAGTCATTTTTTCGTTCTTCCGGGGACCCGTGAGCCGACCGGAAAGGGAGGAGACTTAGGCTCCCTATAGCGTTATATTGTTTTTGGACAGTAAAAAGTGCAGATGACAAAAAGTGACTTTGGAAAAGGTGGGGGGACATGTCCCCAGCCCAAAACTACATCCATGCCTAGGAGCATAACTTCCAGCAGAATGACAAGCACATCAGACCCCCTTTCATCACTGGTAACGAGTGAAAAAGTAAATGTGTAAAACAACATTTATGAATGGTGAACGTTTTGCAACCGTTTGTTACAAATCAATAAATACGTTTTGTCCTCACAGGCTGCCGTAGAAGTAAACGAGGCATCTAATATGGCATCGCCCAGAGACTTAGACCCGCTACCGTGTATTTTAGACCAGATTTTTATGGTGATATGTTATGAAGCCGCAAATGTTTTTCAACAACTGGGCATTGTGTTAAACAACATTTGATGGATATTTTCAGAGAATACCGGAAAAAACTACAAATTTTCTCATTAAGCAAAGATGTGTGTGAGCAGTATTGCTTTTGGAGCCTTCTGATATGAAGGATGCTGCTTACGACTCTCTCTCAGTGAGACTCAAGAACCACATGCTGTCTGTCTGGGCTTGAGAGGGGAGGGCCTGGTGACAGAGCGTGCCTGGATCGGTGTTGTTGATTGGTTGGGAGTCTAGTATTAAGCAACCTGATAGGCTCAGGCTACATGAAAAAAAAGAAATCGACGTTTTGATTGACCCATTTCTTTCTATCGCACCACATGTCTATCGAGTTATATTGTCCAGCCCTAGCATCAGTTGTTGGTATCAGTGACCTTTAAGCAGGCTGAGAAGGTGGAAAACATCCAGATATCAGCCCCCAAAATCTGCAGCTCATAAAATAACCATGACCTCTACATCAGCATCGGTATCGGGAATGGAAAAACCCATTTTGGTCTAGTGGCAGCCATCTTGAACTGGACTGACTCCAAAAGTAAATCAGTTGTAGACGACCCTCTGATGACAGTTTCACTAAAATCAGTCAAGTGGTTCATCAGAGAGGTTACTGTCTGCTATCCAGTCGATGTGGTGGAACTTTTATTTTTATGGAAGCAAATCCATCCACAGTCATAAACGTGTGTGTGTGTGTGGGGGGGGGGGGGGGGGGGGGGTCTCTGCTTTCATTTTCGAGGAATTCAAGCTGCTGTAAGAATCCCTCAGCTCTTTTATGCCACCAGAGCTCCCATCACAACCAGCCTACCTTCATGTGGGGGGGGTAGGAGCTGCCTGGTGCTGCTGGAGGAGCAGCAGCAGCTGATGGAGGAGGAGCACCAGAGGTAGCAGCAGCAGGAGTAGCACCAGCAGATCTGATGGAGTCCAACGTTACATCTTTAAAGGCTGTGATTAGATCTGGGCTGCAGATGAAAACATATTAATTATTATTAATATTATAACTTTAATTCACCACACATAGATCTAAACGATGTAAATGATAAAGATACCGACCTGTCGACGGTGATGCAGATGACTGATCCAACGACGACGTCTCTGGTGCCTTCAGGAACCAGGATCTTAGCCAGATAGCACTCCTCCAGCATCTCGAACCCTACAGTGGCTTTATCAGTCTCCACCTACACACACACACTTTATTTACTCAACAAATCGTGATGATATTTCAGTTATCTATGATCCACAGAGCTCCTAACCTCAGCGATGAGGTCGCCCTCACTGATCTTTTCCCCTTCCTTCTTCTCCCAGCGAGCAATGGTCCCGGTCTGCATAGTAGGCGAGAGCGCCGGAAGCTCCACCTGATGAGCCGGAAACAAATCCAGGTAAAAACAAACAAAAATACGCTTCATAACAGGAGGATCCCAATCCAGCCGAATGTCAGGTGATGTGAGCGCAGCTGCAGTGTCACCCCATCCCAGCTTAATGAATGACCCACAGGCCTGATTTCCTCACATCTGGGTGGACTTTATGGTCACTGCTCTGGGTCAAGAGACATCCAATAGCAGAGATAAGCAGCAGCTCCCAGCGGAGGGTTCCCAAATAAGTATGCAACAATCCAGGAACACAAAATCAGGGATCAACCAGGACCCACTCCTTTAAATGTATGTGTAGCGTGGATGGATCGTGTTTTCAGCTTCAGCAGATTGTTGAAGTCTTTTTCTAATTACAGCTTCTTGAGATAAATCAAAATTGGCCCAAACTTATATCAGCAGAACCAGAATCTCATTTTTACCTGATAAAGTTCTCATTTTTGTTAGTAAGCTGTTTTAAAACAACTCGTCTAACTGTTGTGAACAGAAGCTTTTTGAAAACGTCAACATAAAAATCTGATCTATTCTTTTTGAATAACAGTGAAATGTAAAGTAGATTCTGACGACAATCTGAGCATCTTTCTGCAATAAATGCATGCATCATAGGTGTTTGTTAAGAACAGAATAAACATGTAATAAAACAAATAAGAACAGTTAAAGTAGTAGTTAAAGAAATGATTCCTGCATTTAGACAAAGAAACGTTTTGTTTTTTCAGTCATTCATTCAACCAATTCAACCAAAATCTCATTACTTCAATTATAAGAAAATAGTTATTTATTTAGTTTAACGGCTAAAACCTAAAATGTAAAAACATTGTCTACATGTTCAAAGTAAAATCACCAGGAAATGTAAGTAATACAATAAATAAATAAACGAGATCTGTGTTTCAAATTCAATTCAAATTCAAAAATACTTTATTAATCCCAGAGGGAAATTGATAACTCCTGATCACTGTTATTCATCTGGGCGAACACCCATCCTGTTCTTTAAGCTTCTCCTTTTGGTTGTTTCTTTCCTTTCAGGCCATTTTAAAGTAGTTTATGGTCAAATCTCATGAATATTTATGAATATAGCGTCTGGATCTGATTCACAGAGTTTTAATGCTGAGAATCTTTAGTTTGTCCTTGTTTTTCTATTATTAGTGTGAGCATCATCACCGCCCCTAAAGAGCAGATTTCAGACATCCTTCCTGGATATAAACACCAGCGGGATCTATCTGCTGGTGGAGATGTTCTGATGGAAACAGCAGCAGGTCTGCTGCTGCAGCACATGTTTAGAATTATTTAGAGTTTGAAACATCTGATGTTTCATCCTTTAGCTACTAATGGACACATTACACCGCCACCGCCTCGTTATGGAGCTAAGTGCTGCTGTTAGGTGTACAGGTGTTTTAAATCTATCGGTACCGGCTCTGACCCGGTGCCAGAACCGGACAGCGGTTAACGTTACCTTCTGGTGCGGCGGCAGACTGTAGAGACGCTTGCTTTGGCCGCCGCCAGCCGGGCGGGGACACCGCACAAAGGTCGTTCTGTGGCTGAAGCCCAGGGCCACTGTTCGGTGTCCGCTGTGAAGACGCCTGAGACACCCGGTTCCGGACACGGAGAGAGAGCCGAAGGCAGCAGGCCCAGCCGGTAGGACACGGGAACGGGAGACACCGGGACACGGCCGGAGCCGCAGCATTAAACGAAGCATTCTGCTGCGTGTGGAATCGAACACCTGTCTGATAAATAATTTACCTGCCTCACAGCGGCATTAGAGACGAGCTGGCAGTAAAAACCCGGCGCTCCGACTTTACTCCTCACTTTCTAATGACCTCCTCCTGTCAAAAACACACGCTTTACGGCACTCCTGTCGCTGCTTCAAATCAAGTGTCGTAAAAAAAGACACTTCAAATGAAACAAGATACATTTCACACGAAGCCATGATTATAAACAAACAGTGCTAGTTGTGAAATATTAAAGCAGATTACAAATTTTGTTTATTTAAACTTTAAAATATTTTAGATCTACAAGGTCAAACGGTGTAATATCCTCAATTGCCACACGGGGGCAGTAAAAACAAGCATAACCCAGCAACTCTACTACTTCCAGTTCATTTTGAGAATTCTTTACATTAAAACTTTAATTTTAATAACTGACCTGGTTTTTATAACCAAAACAAAGCAAGGTCTACGACTGTAAAACATCTTATTTATTAAACACATTAGAAAACATATTGAGTTGTGACCAAATAAGCAATATCAATATCATTTAATCAGACAAATCTAAAATATATCTACTGATGAAAATACAGCGATGGAAACCAGAAACATAAGACTGCTATGAAAAAAAATCTGTTTTATTTCAAAATATCTAACATTCCTCAAAACGATTTCTTCAACATGTTTTAATCAGACAGTATCCATGTTTTGCTAAAGAAAAAATCTTTTAACAACATAAGTGCAAAAACACCATCTCGTAAACTCTATATTTACAGTACAGGCAGTTGCGGCATTAAAAACATTCTCATCACATCTCCTCTCTTTGTGTTGGCTCACGTTGACCTAAACTGGAAAAAGACAGGAAAAGATCTGATGTTTTTTCAAACATTTCAACTCACAAAGACAGGCGCATTGCAAGCTTTTCAAAAGTGTGGGGGATGTTGTCTGTGGATGTCATCAGCTGTAAATTGAAACTCAACCCCAATCCAGTAACGGGTCCGCGCATAATTCACAGTAACAAAGCCCTTCCAAAAACATGCTAAATATTCACCAATCAGTGCTTAATTTGAGCCGGGTCTTGCCGGAACAAGATCCAGGAACTATCTTATTTTGAAACAACCGTTCCAGCAACTGTCTGCTAGGATCTGGCAACTCACGCGACAAACTTGTGCTATACAGAGGATTCGCATTACGGGTGAGCTAGGGAGCTTCAGGGGGAGCCAATAACGATCCGGGTTCTACTTATATTACATTATTCATGTGGCCTCTCCAGGGATTATTTTGACCTGAGAGGTGCAGAGCTCTGATCGTTGATGCGCTCCAGACAGATGCGTCCTGAGCACGGCCACAGTAAAATTCTCAAAGTGTCACCACCTCAAAAACAAATTTAACAGGCGATCATTCATGTCGGCTCATATCCTGAAGCGGGGAACAGTGAAGATGCAAAAACTACCATTGTTAGAAGGTTTCTGCCAATGTCGGGTTTCAAGGAGAAACAGGAGAGGGAGGGGGAGAATGAGATGAGGCAGAGTGAGTGCGAAGTAGAGAAACCAGACTGGTGTGTGGAGGTGGGCAAAACGGCTGGAAAAGTGTGGGTGTTGAACGATCTCAATAAGAAAAGTGGGTGTTGAATCCCCCACATCCCCCAAGGGTGCCACGCCCATGCATAAAGACTCAAATACAAACCATAAATAAGCTGATTACAAAACAAGGCTCCTCAAAACATTAAAAATTGCACCCAACAAAAACCAAATGAAGGTTTCAACTAATAATCTCTATTTGAACAAATAACAAATATTTTCATTTCTTCAAATAATAAAATTGTGGATAAAATCATAAAACAAACCCTGAAGTTAATCCAAAAGAAGTGATGCTTTTGTTTTTACAATGACATCAAAACACAGACGAGCCTAAAATACATTTAGACCTTAGTTCTGTTGACAGCAGATGCTCTTTTCAGCCTACATTAAACTAAAACTATAAACAGAAAAGTGTCTGGATTCAGGTCATGCACTCGTGTAGACTCAACCTCGCACTAACACCTCTATCAGAACATCTGTTCCTAATCTTTAATGAATAAGTGGCTAATGCTGCTGATTCTGATGCACCATTGTACCAGACTACACGACTGAATCTGGGGTCTACGAGGCCTCGCTGGTGCACGACACCAAACACAGAGAGACTTTCTGTCTCACCTCCCGGAGCTAACAGCCTGAACCACAACACTACTGCTACAGTTACGGCCTGAGTTCAGGCATCAGCAGGGCGAACAGCTCTGGTGGTTGTCTCTGGGTGATGAACAGCTGATCGATGACACATCATGGCTGTACACCTACAGCGGCCTAAAACAGAAAGAGAAAACAAGCTTGTTTTAAACCAGAGCTAACATAATTAAAGGAAACCCTCAGACGTGACATCCTGTTACCTCTCCTCGCCACCATCCTCTTCCAGCCAGGCCACGATTTTTCCCTCCCAGCCTGGAACGACTGCTCCATCCAGAAACACCTTGATAAACAAAGCAATGACTTCACATAGTGTGAATGTTTAGATCTGCTGCAGCACAGAACCAGACTCATCCCACTGAGAGTCCAGTGAAACCCTGCTGTGGCTGAAAAACCCCAGCTGTTCCTTACCTCCTCTTTCACCGTGCCAAACTCCGGGTCTAGAGCTTTGAAATGATATCTGTAGTTTCCCTCTCGATCAACAGCTGCCTTCACATCTCTGAGCGTCACCTCACCAAGCCTGAGCAGAGGAAAATCCCTCTCCTCTAACATCTTACAAATCTGAATTCTGACGTTAAGAACGCGGTGCTGGTGTGTCTGAGACGACCAGACTCACCTCTTGGATACATGGATCATGGAGGGTGTCGGAGATTTACCAGTAAAGTACAGGATTTTAGTGGAAGGAGGTGGGTTACTGTGAGACTGACGACTATCTGAAACCGAGAACACAAACATCTCCCTTAGAAAAGGCCCAAATAACCAGTGCATAGTCTGATGTGGAACTGGGACATGTCTCTTACTGGTGGAAGGCCAGGAGTCCAGATCTGTGTGTTGACCTTTGCGTCGTGGGGATTTCCCTCTTCCCTGCACACATGAGCGTGATCATTCAGCAGGTCAGGACCCATTTTACTGTTAGTTTGTTCAGACTCAGATGAGTAAAGCATCCCCCACCCTGTTTGTATGCAGGACACGCAGCCTGTCCATGAGGGACACTATTCCCTGCTCCAGAGTGTCCAGCGTGTGCTGCTGGGGGTCCTGATCACTGAAGTTGTTCCTCAGACTCCTCAGAGCATCTCGGAGCAGCTGAACCTCCTCTGCCTGCTGCTGAGGCACAAAAACAGAATCTGAGCTGTAAATTTTTAAACAAGTCACGTTTCATGAAGCAGAAATAAAACCTAAACAGTTCTGAGCAAACTCGACTTACACCCGACACAGGAGGAGCTGGATTCCCAGAGTAGGAATATCCATTGTTTTCAGGGCTGTTTGGGATCTGACCAGAAGGAGGAAACACGGAGGAAGAAGGGAGAGGTGTGATAGAAACGTGGATTTGTGACAAACACAAAGAGCCGGCACACAAACTCCTACCTCTGGCAGATTTCTACTCATGAGGTCCTGCAGCAGGCTGTGCTTCTGCTGCAGCTCTCTTTGTAACTCCGTCTGTCAGCAAACACCCAGAAATAATCCTCAGTAACAAAATGGAGTCAGCATTTTAGCTTGATAGTTTCTTAGTGATGCTGAACCACTACCTGGGTTTTCTGACTTTCTTCAAGCTTGTATTTGAGCTGCTGAAGTAACCTGTCCTTCTGTCCCACGTCCATCTGCACAGCCACACAAGCACAACAAATGAGTGGATTTGTCTAAATCAGGAGTGGGGAACCCTGGTCCTCGAGGGCCGGTATCCTGCATCTCTTTGCTCCAACACTTCTGATTCAGCGGTTGATTCACCTGTTCTACAAGCTCTGCAGAAGCCTGTTAATCACCTGCTGATTGAAATCAGGTGTGTCGAAGCAGGGTTGAAACTAAAACATGCTGGACACCGGCCCTCGATGGACCAGGGTTCCCCACCCCTGATCTAAATGAACTAACTAAAGCAGGATGAATGATGTCACCTTGCATTCGCTCCATAGTCTGTTGCATTCTTCCAGCTTCCACTTAAGCTCCGCCTACAACACATGATCACAGCAGCTATTACAACAGACAGCATGTTAGACTTTAGCAGATAGAGTGGAGGCCAGTCTCAGTTTCTAGAACAGGTTTTTACATTCTGGTTGTTGAGTTCGTCCTTGGTCATGCTGGCTCTGAGCAGCTCCTGCTTCGTCTGCAGTATGGATGCTTCCTGAGAGCACAACCTCTGCTGCTGGGCCTCCTACTCACCAGCAAATGGACACAAAACATGTTAAAAATCGTGGGAGCAGCTTTAACTGCACGGCCAGAAGGTGAATGTGGGTTTTCTGACCTTGACTCCCTGCAGGTTTCTCATCTCCTGCTTACAGCGCAGCAGCTCTCTCTAGCGCCAACAGCAAACACGACGAATTAATCATTGATCACGGAGACCATTCCACAAGTCAGCTGATGCATGTTAAAGACCAACAACACCTAAACTGTCCTGCACCTTGGTGGAAAAGTAAAAAGACAAGTTACCTTCAGCTCCCTGATCTCCTCCATACTCTGATCCAAACGACCACGAAGGACGACCTGGAAAAGCAGGAAACCGGGGTGTGTGAGAGAGTTGCAATAGAGAGAATACAGGGAAACTGATACTCGTGTCACACACACATACACACACACACACACACACACAGCTAAGAGGAGGTAATCTGATCAGCGCTGAACACAAAGAGGAGAAAAATAAACTGCGAGTAAAAGAAAAGAGAAAATCACCAACAGACAAAACCTGTGAAAAGCATACGGACGTTACCAGCTGCTGCTCAGCGCTGTTGGTGTCCAACGACACACACACATCCTGCTCTTCCTCAGGTAGAGAACCGTGCAGCAGCAGAGCCTGCAGAAACACAAACACGTGACTCGTTGCTGAGCCTGGTTAAAGCGTCAGCTGGTCACCAACTCGTTTATGTTTCAATACAGCAAAAAATGAACAGACATCTACTGTAACAGCTGTCTTCTCTGAGGGATTTTCTACCCTTCCAACCATTATCCAGTTGAGAGGAGAATAAAGAAGTGTCCAAATGACAAAAATAAATCTATTTCCAGGAAAAAGTAGAAAGGAGCCATTATCAGTAACAGCTGATGGAGGCTGACTGGGTTAGATGTTTTTAATAGTGGAGGATTCAGGTAAGTTTTACTGAATAAAATATAAATAAGTACGTTTAATTGTAAACAACCTACAGTCTTTTTGCTTCTTCTTCTGCAGAACTCACACTTCCTCCTTTAACCCTTTTTCTAAACTGGTATTTGGTAACCAGTCTGGTAAGAATGCAGCGTTTTCTCGAGCTCACTTTGAAAAGCAGAAATCTGGAGCTTTATGTCAGAGGGCACCATCTAGAGGAGGAAAGCGTATCGCACCTGAAGCTCCTCTCCCTACTTGTCATTACGACTGAAACGACGACTCTCATTCAAGCACATGCACCTCTAGCTGACCAACAGAACAAAAACACATTGTTTACATTTATTAATCTCACATTATGTTGTTTATTCATTTTTAAGGACTTGATTTTCCCTAAGAATTTCACCAACACTGCATCAGTCTAGGTACTTCCACAAACCCGCACCTGCTCTCTGTTTGACATCTGTACGTAAGCAGCTGTGTAACACGATTGGCTAATCCTGAAACAAAAGCAAAACCCCAAACGTTGATCCAAACCTTTCTAATGGAATTAAATCACCATAAAACCATTACTATATGGTCAGCTGCAACTAGTTAACGGACAGTTATTACTGAAAAATGATGGTGATGAGAGCTTACATCAAAATGCTGCAGGATAATATTAATCACGTAAATAATGTTGTGACATAAACAGATACCTGCAGAGCAGAGACCATCTTACGGGCCTCCTGCACCTCCTCCTCCAACATCTCACTGATGGAATCCTCCCAACGCTCCATTACAGCACCAGGTGACTCTGACACACACACACACACATGCACGCACGCACGCACACACACACACACACACACACACACACACAGAGCAGTATTACAGAAGCCAGATGATCCTGCTGTGGGTTCCTGCAGACTGAACGTACCACTGCTCTCCTGATGCTGCAGGTCTTGTCGGTCCGTGTGGCTCGACTGACCTCTGGGTGATGAGAGTGGACTGATGGAGCTGAGGCTCATAAAGGAAAGAAAACACAGATCAGTTCACTCATTCATTTTATATTTATTAAAACCCGTCAATCCTCCACTGCTCTGGAGCGCTTTAATGAAGCTCATTTGTAAAGAGCCACCAGTAAGAAAACACACTGGGTGGAAAAACGACTCGTCTTCTGGTCAAACGCACCCAGAGGGATTGAACGGTCACATGTGGGTCCAGAGCTACAGCTAGGTGGCACACCTCCCACCTTTAACCCAGATTAAGGGTCTGCATATCAAACATGTGCTGAAAGACCATCACAGTTTGTGGAGGCTGTTTTCTTTCCATACAGAGCATTTTCATAAAGGTCAGTTCAGCTGGATGTTACGAAGCTTTGTGTGACCACATGAATGTCCTACAATCCTCACAGCACACCACAGCTGATGGCAGTCTGGAAATTTGGGAATTGCCATAAGATCCGGATCCAGCTCCAGCATTATGAGATGACTGTGCAAATACAAATAAAGAACAGTATCTTAACTAATATTTGTTCAACTTCTGCCTCAATGTGGTAAGTGATAGAATCAGAATCGCATGAGAGCTCCACAGCGCTGCACCAACAGTTACAGTCTTTACCAGAGAAACGATACAGTTGAGAGAGCCTCGTCTTACCATTTGAACTGGGTCGCCCCCATAGTGGGCGTCAACTGGTCTGACTGGAACAGAACTAGACTCCGCTCTGTGTCTTCAGCATCAGCAGCCCCACAAACTTGTGAAGATTTGCAGTTCTCTTCACCCTGATAAGCCCCGCCCCTCACCCTTAAGATACCCCTCTACCACGGCAACCAGACATTGCTTCTGTAGTGCAGCTATGGCTATGCTGAATCAGAGACCACATCGGTCCAAGCGCAAAACCCGAGAGCGGAGCCAGTAGAGATGGCTTGTGTCAGAACAATCGGAATAAAAATAAACAGAACAGCACAACGCTTACCAAAGTACCAAGACCAGAGTCATATGCTTCGTCAGGCTGAGACACACACACACACACACACACACACACACACACACACACACACACACACCACATAATGTAATCCACTGTGTCACTAAATAATAAAGACAATGAACTGGGTAAAGAAAGCAACAAAGCTAGCGTGTGATGAGAAATCAAATCCATAAAAAACTGACCCAACATAAACCTCACCAGGCTGTTCTTACATGGACTGAGCACAAAAATACACACAAGAGACGTCTTTGAGTGTGAATAAGTGCTGCTTTAGTAAGAGAAGACTTCTGTAACCAGTTATCCACACATCCTCCTCATTTAAAGACTCAAATAGACTATTTAACATGAAGTCAAACATTTAGTCTTATTTCTTTATAGAGAGTCTATTGCAGGCAAACTCATGGGATGTTTAAGTCCATCTGTGTTATGAAGAATCTGCATTTGGTTGAAATGGAGCAGAAAGTAAATCCCCGTACACGTCAGAATGAATCCAGCTGCTTTGGTCACATGATCAGCAAACACCAGAACCTTTGGTTCATCAAAACCAAATATCTGCCCATGATAAACACTTCCTCTAGAGGAACTTCTGTCTCTAACACAACGATTCTGCACAAAAAGGGAGCATTTCTATCATAATCTACTTTATCACGATGAAACACACTCACACAGGCAACTTTACTTTATGCAGAAGCAGATTACCTGCTTGGTGGGGGGTTGGCCGGCTCATCTGTGGCACCTCTTTCATACTGCTGAACCAAGGCACGTACACACACGCTCTTCTCCTCATCCAAGCCCCACACACTTAAAGGACACACACACACAGAGAAGACCATGTGTGTTTAAACATAAAAGCTGGAACAGTGTTGCTAAAATCAGTCAGCTGGATAAGGTTTGTATTGGAAGGACTACAGTTTTTCCACTAGAGGGCAGCAAAGGCTCACGGAGCAGCTGCTCTATCAAATCAAATCAAACTTTATTTATATAGAACTTTTCATGCATAGGATGCAACACAAAGTGCTTAACAGATTAAAATGGCCTATATAACCCACATTCCCTCCCTTTCCCACACTTAAAACAACTGTGATAGTTTCACCCCAATCCACAAACCATTCCCAAGTGTGCACGCACACACGCACACACGCACACACACACACACACACACACACACACACTCGTCCACATAGCACATTAAAAGGCCACAGTAAACACTAGGCTGAGCTCAGATTGGACAGGTAATGCCATCAAGGGAGCCATCTGCCTCGACAGCAGCAGATTGACGGCAGCAGCCAAGACACCAATCCAGGGTGCCCTGGGAGGGAGGGTGGCAACCCCCACCACTACCTGGGCACTACCCTAGGAGTGCCCCAGCCGCCGCTACCAACCACCGGTCCCGAGGCAGAGGGCTCCACAGAGGAAACACTGGAAGGATTAAAATACGTGACATGTAAAAAAGCATGTACAAGAGCTACTATGGAAAATATCTAAAATGCATGATGTAAAATATCCAATAAAATGTGATTAAACAAATAAAACAACATAAATGTGTAACACAACAGTAATTAAAAATAAATAAATAAGTAAAACAAGCAATGCAATAAAAAGTAATCAGTTAAAAGTTAAACTAAATAGGTGGGTCTTGAGCCTGATCTTAAACACATGAACACTCTCTGCAGCCCTGAGATCTTCCGGCAGCCCGTTCCACAGGCGAGGGCCGGAATAACTAAAAGACACCTCGCCGTGAGTGTGAGTCCTGACTTTGGGAATGACAAGGAGACGGCTGCCAGAGGAGCGCAGGGACCGCGAGGGTTTATATGGTAAAAGCAGTGGTGAGAGATAAGATGGGCCAAGACCATTAAGACACTTAAAAACCATTAAAAGTATTTTAAAATCGATCCTGAAACTTAAGGAGAGCCAGTGCAGTGATTCTAAAACCGAAGTGATGTGCTCCCGCTTCCTGGTCTTCATCAGGACACGAGCTACAGAGTTTTGTAAAAGTTGTAAACCTGAAGTGCTCTTTTTAGGAAGACCAGAAAGCAGGGCATTGCAGTAGTCAATTCTACTGGTGATAAAAGCATGCATCAGCGTCTCCGTATTGGCCCGAGAGAGAATGGGGCGGACTCTGGCGATGTTCTTGAGATGATAAAAACCTATTTTAGTAATGTTTTCAATGTGGGGGATAAAAGTCAGCTGAGAGTCGAAAATCACGCCCAGGTTCTTCACTCGTGAAAATGGATTAAAAGACATTGACTGCAGTTTTGGTAAAAGCTTCTCTCTCTGGGCCTCAGGACCGATGACTAAAACTTCAGTTTTGTCCCGGTTGAGCTGGAGAACGTTTTCTGCCATCCAGGATTTAATGTCTAAAATGCAGTTTAAAAGTGCATCTATTGGCCGTGTGTCATCAGAAGACACAGAGATGTACAGCTGTGTATCATCAGCTTAACTGTGGAAATTCACCCCGTGTCTCCTGATGACGCCACCAAGAGGGAGCAGTCCCACAGTCCCCATATAGAGGTTAAAAAGTACTGGGCCTAAAACTGAACCCTGGGGCACACCATATGTGATGCTGTGTACCCCAGTGGAACAGGTATCCAAACTCACCATAAAAGTCCTGTCTGTGAGGTAGGAAGTGAACCATCTATGTACAACACCAGAGAGGCCGATCTGTTTTAAGTGGGCTAAAAGAATAGTGTGGTCCACTGTATCAAAGGCAGCGCTTAGATCCAGTAGAACCAACACTGTTGCCCTCCGGGAATCATAATTTATTCTAAAATCATTTAAAATCTTCAGAAGGGCCGTCTCGGTGATGTGGTTCACCCTAAAACCAGACTGAAATTGGACATCATTAGTGTTAACAAAATTGTTAAGTTGATTTAACACAAGCTTTTCTAAAATTTTGCTTAAAAATGGCAAGTTGGACACCGGTCGGAAGTTGTTTAAATCATTAAAATCTAAATTGCTCTTCTTCAACAGGGGTCTCACCACCGCCCGCTTAAAAGCAGCAGGAAAGACCCCCGTCTGAAGCGAGTAATTCATCAGAGATAAAATATCATCCTTAAAAGAATCATAAAATCGTTTACAAAACCTTGTGGGAATAGGGTCCAGGACACATGTGGTGGGTCTCACTGAGGAGAAAACTTTATCAAGAATCTCAGCTTCAACCGAGACAAAACTGTCCAGTGTTTCCTCAGGTAGACACACACTCTCAGACTGATCTGAAGCATTATTGCTTTGGGAGGATAAAATGTTACATCTGAGGGTGTCTACCTTCCCTCTGAAGTGGGCTGCAAACTCCTCGCAAAGAGTGTCTGAGGGGGTTTTCTGGGAAGAATTAGAATCACCATTTAAAATATTAGCAATTGTAGAAAAAAGCACTTTAGTATTATTTCTGTTTTCTGTAATGATTTTGGAAAAGTAATTGTTTCTGGAGTCTCTAACTGCTTTATTGTATAATTTTAACTGTTCATTATAGATTTGCTTATTTATTGTGATCCTGTTTTTCCTCCATCTCCTCTCTGCCACCCTGCAAGTTCTCTTTAGCTGCTTTAGATTTTAATTTCTCCAAGGAGATGTATGTTTTGACTGTAGTTTTTTGATTTTGGATGGGGCAAGCAAGTCCAGAGTAGATCTGAGTCCACTGTCTCTCACCTGTTGCAGTGTCTGACTCTGAAATAGGAGCAGGGACACGACTAAAACATGCAGGATTAGACCCCTGGAGGACTAGAGCACTGATATTTGATTCAGATTCTAACCTCACAAACAATTTGGGGGGAAAACTAATTTTATTAAAAAGAGGTGCAAAAACAACAAAACTGTATTTTATACCTCTGACTTTAGAACTGCATTTGCTCAAGATAATGTACTCAGGTTTATACTTGGAGGTAAGTGAATTAACCATACACATGTGACACCGGCAAACACCTGTTTAGACAGCATGGGATAAACTTCCACTGTTATGCTGACGATACTCAGTTATATCTATCCATTAACCCTGATGAACCTAATCGGTTAGTTAGATTACAGGCTTGCCTTGAAGACATAAAAAATTGGGTGACTCTAAACTTTTTGCTTTTAAATCAAGACAAGACTGAAGTTCTCATCTTTGGACCAGAAATCCAGAAAAGGAAATTGCTTAGTCAATCACCTGACCTGAATGGCATCAAAATTATCTCTGAGAACAAAGTAAGGAACCTTGGTGTTATCTTTGACCAGGACATGTCATTCAAATCCCAGGTTAAACAGGTTTGTAGGATTTCCTTTTTCCACCTTCGGAATATTGCTAAGATTAGAAGCATACTTTCCAGGAGTGATGCTGAAAAACTAGTTCATGCATTTATTACATCAAGACTGGATTACTGTAATTCATTACTCTCAGGAAGTCCACAGAATGTAGCTAAAAGTCTTCAGCTTGTCCAAAATGCTGCAGCTAGAGTTCTGATGAGAATTAAAAAGAGAGATCATATCTCTCCTGTCTTAGCTTCCCTACATTGGCTGCCTGTTAAATTCAGAATAGATTTTAAGATCCTCCTTCTCACATTTAAAGCTCTTAATAATCAAGCTCCACCTGACTGTTCCATATGTTCCTAACTGAGCACTTCACTCTTAAACTGCAGGTTTACTGGTGGTTCCCAAAATATCTAAAAATAGGATGGGAGGCAGATCTTTTGGTTATCAGGCTCCTTTCTTGTGGAACCAGCTCCCAGCTTTAGTCCGTGAGGTAGACACCTTGTCTACTTTTAAGACTAGGCTTAAAATATTTTTTTATTTGGTTAAAATCTGATGTTAGCCCAGATCTGGACAAGTGGGGGGAGTAGAGGGAGGTGGAATGTACAGTCGGTAAAAACGGTTTGCCCTGCCTACAACATGCCTCCATCTAAAAGGCTAGGTTATCATGAGTTATCTCTGTAGTTATGCTGCTATAGGCTTAGACTGCTGGAGTACATACTGACCACTTTCCACACTCAATTACTTTCTTCTACAATTTGCTCTTTAACTGCATTATTTCCTGCAATTTTAGATGTTAACTTTATTTTTTATTTGTTCCCCAATGAACATCATTATGTTCTGCTGAGCTGTGGATAAATACAATAAAGTTTATCTCTCACCACATAGAATATTTACTAAGAAATCACAATGTAACCATAGAAACATTACTTGGTATATATGTTGTGTGTGTGGATGTGTGTGTGTCTGCTCTGTCTTCTCAATCCCCAGTGAGTCGTGGTGGATGGCTGATTATACTAAGCCAGGATCCTCTGGAGGTTTCTTCCTGTTAAAAGGGAGTTTTCCTCTCCACTGTCGCTAAATGCTTGCTTAGTATGAGGATTGCTGTAAAGTTGTAAAGACTTGATGCAATTTGTTGGGTTCCTTCTATAGGAAACTTTTTTTCTGATTGGCTTAATGAACTGACCTGTATCGGAGTGTTTACTAAGTGAAGTGCATTGAGACGATTCTTGTCGTGATTTGGCGCTATATAAATAAACTTGAATTGAACTGAACTGAAATGAAATATATATATTTATAGATGTGCAGAATGACACTCTGGTGGTTTTAGTGCTCGCACCTGTTAGACCTGTTGATGCATGTGCCATTTGTAGGTAGTGAGACATCCAGTCGAGCTGATGCCAGAGCAGCAGCGGCTCCCTGAGCCAGTGCAACAGTGGAGTGAGGATTGTGGCTTGTGCTGGCTGTTTTTGAGCCACGCCCACTTCCAGAAGTTGTTCTGTGATTGGCTGATGGCTTGAAATGAGCTGCTAATGCCAAAATGATCCTCATCACGGACTTCAGATTGCCATCGACAACATCTGAAAACAGAAACATTGCCTGTATTTATATAGAGTTCCAGGAAGTACAAGTCAGCTGGAGGAGAAAGTAGCTTCAGAAAGCAGGATTTGGAGTCTTACTTCCTGATATTTGGACATCTCTTCTCTGATTGGCTAACAGCAACACAACTCTACCACTGACTGTTTTCTTTACAACACTGATGTTTTACCTCCACAAATAAAACAAGCTTGGAGAAGTTCTGTGGAGTTACTAATGCCAACAGTTAGCTTCTACTAGTCGAGACGTTCTCTGCTGATTCCTGGACGCTAAACCAACAACAGCCTTCCCTGTCATGAGTCAAGATGAACGAGTGCATGAATGCTAAGTGACAGTGTGACATAGATCTGTCAGGCTTTTCTAATCCTAGAGTTTCACCGTCTATTTTCTATCAGAAGCTAATGCAGGAGACAAGTGTGGGAGACTACTTTCATGTTCAGCCTGCATGACAAACTCTTGAGTGACTGATTATAATCAAAAATAATCATTAAAAATTATTTTTCCAGTGAAGCACACCTTTAAATATCAGCAGTGATGTTGAATAAAATAATTTCTTTGTTAGCCTAAGATGTTCGTACAGAAAATAATCAAAAAATACAGAACAGGAGAATTAAAAACTCTGAACGGTTTGCGGTTTACCTTTAGCAGATATATGTGGCATGCGTATGTGTCTGGAGGAAATGAACTGCAAGACTTCCTCCACATTCTTTCTGCTTTCCTCTTTGTTCTGTGGAGGTTTGTAGACGCCCTCCAGCACTTCACCAGCTGCCAAACAAAATGAAATGAGCAACAGGGAAACACATTAGGATATTATACAGCTTTGGTCTACATTTAACCTCCAAAACAACACCACACAAAACCAGAAAAAGGAAACTGGTGTTCTAGACTTGTGGTTAATACCATAGACAGATAGAGAATAGCACAGAGAACAAATTTGCAATATTTACCAACTATCTCAATTAGCTGTAGGAACACAACTCCATCCTGCAGATCGTGCCTGAGGTCTGTGATGGGCTCCAGACCTGGTTTCCTCCTCAGCTGAGAGTTTACCCAGGAAACATAAACTGCCAGCTGCTGCTGCAGTTCAGCCACCGGAGGCACAGATCCAACACATCACAAGATAACCACATAGACAAGTAAAGGGCTTAGTGATGGGAGCCAGACAGATCTGAGACAAATAAGAGCCTTTGTTTATCGGGGGGGGGGGGGGGGGGGGGGGGTAGCCCAGTGTCCCAAATATCTGCTGAGTTTCACTTTAGCTCTGGCAGACCGCTCATTAGTCTGGATCCACACCAGAGGAACCAGCACAACCTTTCATTCATTCTCCTGATTTAACAGTTACTGGAGCGTCACGTGACAGCTGGTCGTCCGGGTTACTCCTCAAAGAACGCACGCGTTACAGACAACAGAGAAAATTCCCTCTGCGCTTTCTATTCTTTCACTAAATCACTCGGAAATAAAGAAGTCGGTAATTTAGCTATTTACCGTGTTATCATAGCGCAGCTAGCCCCATTACTGCGACTCATATCACGTTTTAGGAGTTTAACATGTTTTTAACTTATTACGTTCGCGAGCTTCACACAGGTGGACTTAACATGAAAGGCAACATCAAACAACGAGTCCTTCTGGTCCACATGGCAGGTGTTTTTACATGTTGTGTTCCGCTGCCTGTCGAGTAACGCCGAGTAAACGTTACCTCGTTGTAGCCTCCATGAAGAACCTCATCCAGCAAACTTCCTCTTGAGAGTGAAGCGATCATCTTTTAACTCGAAACTCCATTTAGGACAGCTAACCGGTTAGCTACCACACCGGCGGATCCCCGTTATTAATGACTCCAGCCAGACAATGGGTCAAAGTCGGCTACCGTTACTCTGAGCAGCACTTTACGATGTTGACGCGGGCAAGCATTACTTCCGGTTTCAAAATAAAACTGAGAAAGAACTCCGGAAGTAATGTAAATAGAAAAAGAAGTTACAGGCGCGTCACAAGTACAGTACATTTTCTAAATGATTTTAAAAAGACAAGAAAACTAAAATAAAAAAAGATTAAATAAATGAAAAAAGAAAACAAGGGAGCCAGAAAATACACAGAAGTCTTCGAAACACCATCATGAAGCTAGTGAGCTAATTTTGGTCATTTATTTTAATTTATAATTGTGTGTCCAAACCTTTTGTTGCGAATACTCATTTAATAAGATTTATTGCATTTAATTAGAAAACAAGCATAGTTTAATTTGTACTTGTTCAACATTACATTGAAATTATTTTAATCAAGAGAACAAAATATTATATTTATTTTTTATTTTATATATATATAAAGAGGGAATTTTCTCTGTTGTCTGTAACGCGTGCGTTCTTTGTGGAGTAACCCGGACGACCAGCTGTCACGTGACGCTCCAGTACCTGTTAAATCAGGAGAATGAATGAAAGGTTGTGCTGGTTGCTCTGGTGTGGATCCAGACTAATGAGCGGTCTGCCCCCCCACCCCCCACCCCCCCGATGAACAAAGGCTATTATTTGTCTCAGATCTATTCTAAATGGCTAAAATGAAATAGGTACAGTTGCAGCAAATAGCCACCGGAGGGCAGCATTTTCCCACCTTCTCTTTATTCCTTACTGCTGTTTGAGGCCAGCAGAGGGCGCAAATGTACCATTCTTTTAAGGAAAAAAACAGTGCTTTCTACTAAGGAAGTCTTTTATCTTTACCAATACAGGTTCATCCCCTTCAAATCCTCCTCCTTCTCCTTTATAATATTATAATTCCCAAAATGTTTATTACAAACATTAAGATTTTTTTCAAGCTTCGTTAAGACATGGAGGCTAAAATGTTCTATACTAAATGGCTAAAATTGAATCAAAGATTTGATATTCATCACATTTAGAGATCCACATGTTTGACCTTAAATCAAAGCATTAAGATTTTTTAAAGCTTCATTAAGACAAGGAGGCTGAAATGATCTATTCTTATTGAATCTGTGCAGGCTTCCTAGTGATGAGTGGTTAGAGCTGTTGCCTTGCATCAAGAAGGTCCTGGGTCCGCTTACCGGCTTGGGATCTTTATGCATGGAATGTTCATTTTCTCCCTGTGCATGCGAGGGTTCTCTTCGGCATCCTCCCACCGTCCAAAAACATGACTGCTTTAGGTTGATTGGTCTGTCTAAATTGTCCTTAGGTGTGAGTGTGTGTGTGCATGGTTGTTTGACCTGTGTGTCTCTGTGTTAACCTGCGATGGTCCCAGGAGGCTTCATCACTTCTCATTTATTTACTTTTATTGTTTTTACTTTGTTTCATTTTTTTAAACTTTTTTAGTGAAATGACTAAATGACTAGTTTTTGGGGTTTTTATTTGAATGCTGTCAAATGTGTTTTGTGAGTTTTTTAAACAGCACTTTAGTCCACTCGGACTGATTTTAAAGTGATTTATATTTAAATAAGATTTGATATTCATCACATTTAGAGATCCACATGTTTGACCTTAAATCAAAGCAAAAATGAACCAGAAGAATAAATTATTCAGAGGTTAGATCAGACTTTTCCCCTCATGTCTCATCTCTGCCGGTATGTAATCACAGATGCGAATGGAAAAGGATCGGTATGTCATTTATTTGGATGTGATGCACTTCTCCCCCCATGAGCTGTCTGTCAGCGTTAGTGACGAGTACATCACAGTGCACACCAAGCACAAACACAGACAGGTGAGCATCAGCAGAATTACCTGCAGGACTAAGGGAATTGTTACTAACATGCAGATGTATTCTGCTTTCAGGACGATCAAGGCTTTGTTTCAAGAGTTTCTGAGGAAGTACAGGCTTCCATCCTCGATCACCTCCTGGACCAGATGCAACATTCCCATTTCCTTTGACGAGAAATCACAGAAAATGTAGAGGAAGCTCTCACAGCACTGGAGCCAGTTTTCTTGTTGTTTCTTTTTACATCAGCATTTAAATTTTGTCTCCATGAACAAATGCCATCTAATAAACCCGCTAACGTCTGACTTACTCTAATGTCTCAGACTGACAATCATGCTTTAACCACGTCTGGCCAACAAAACGACAAGAACCTGGTAGTGGAACGAGAATCCTTCTATTGACACACTGAATTCTCAATGCTAAACAGAGCAAACGTTAAATATTCACACCTCTCACCTAAAATTTTCTTTTTTTCACCATGAATTTAATTTTACAAACATTTAGCTCCTGATTAAGACAAACAAGCTAATCCTTCACCACATGTCTCTCCTGAAGGATGATGAGAGACTGGAACTGGATCTGCTGGTGATGTTTCCTGTGTGACGGCCATATTGGTCTCTGTAGGTGGGAAGAGGGGCAGGAGGACGAGAAGGGGGAGGAAGAGGAGGTTCGTTTGTTTATAATTTGTGGAAGAAAGCCACATAAAGACTCTGGACCAGATGTTTTCTCTGATACAAGGAAGATGGAGATGACCGACGGGGGGGGGGGGGGGGGGGGGCAGAAGGGGCAAAACTGATGTATGTCTCTTTTCCATTAAGGAGAACAGCCACTGATTGATTTACATGATACACAATCTGTTGAATACATGTTGAAACACAAGTTTAAGTGTCCTGCCATGCAAAACTTCATTAAATGGCAGATTCACTGATAAGCCTTAGAAGCTTAGCATTAGCAGCTTCGCAACATGGCAGAACTCCTTCAGTTATTTGTGGAGATAAAACATCAACGTTGCTTTTTTTTACCAGAGTGAATGGAGACAACGGAAGAGTTGTGTTGTTGTTAGCCTATCAGAAGCCAGGTGTTCGAATAAAATACGATAAGACTTTACTGATCACACAGCGGGGAAATCTGTGCGTTACGACAGCTCAGGACAGATGATAAAAAAAAGTACAGCAAAGAGTCAGCTGTTCTACCACAACTATTTGCTGTCCGAGTGGTAGACATCTGTAAACACATGCATGAACATGTAAGTGCCACCAGGTGCATTGACCGTTGGGACCTTAGTTAAAGTAGCTGGGTGACTCATGATATCATAATGTGTTGTAAAACCTAACGGCTTTTGGAATGAATGGTCTACGGAAGCGCTCCTTCCAGCAGCACCCACCAACTCGTGCAGAGGCAGATGTGGGTTGTTCATGATGGATGTCAGCTTGGCCAACATCCTCCTCTCACCCACCACCACAGACTGCAGAGGGCATCACAGTACAGAGCTAGACCGCTGCACCAGTTTGTCAATCCTTCTCCTGTCCCTGTCCATGCTTCCGCTCCCCCAGCAGGCCACTGCATAGAAAAGTGCAGATGACAGCATCGAACAGAGACCTGCTTACTTCGAAGGACCTCAGTCTCCTCAGCAGGTGAAGTCGACTCTGGCCCTTCTAATACAGGGTGTCTGTATTTGCAGTCCAGTCCAGTTCATTGCTGAGGTGATCACCCAGGTACTTGTTAGAGTCCACTGTCGCAACGAGTGATGTGCAATACCACTAATATCATTTCCAAACTGATACCAAATAAAATTAGGTCCAGGATCGGCAATACCAATCCGATACCAATACTTTGCTCAAAGATTTTTTGTTTGAAAAATGAAAAATTCTTGGAACAATTAATTCTTTAAGTACTGAAACTGTCAAGGATGAAGCTGCTGAGATCTCTTCATGTGAGAGGAATTTAGTGCCAAGAGCTTAATGAACAGGTTTTGAATCGACCATAGAACTATTACAAATTAATAAAGGATGCATCCATATATCAGCAATGACAGCATCCTCCTGAACACATAGTTGTATACATGTGTGTGTGTGTGTGTGTGGGGGGGGGGTCTTCTTGATCCCCAGTGAATCGTGGTGGATGGCTGCTTATACTGAGCCAGGATACTCTGGAGGTTTCTTCCTGTTAAAAGTAAGTTTTCCTCTCCACTGTCGCTTAATGCTTGCTTAGTATGAGGACTGCTGTAAAGTCACTGACACTATTCAGTGACTTGATGCAATTTGCTGGGTTCCTTATATAGGAAACTTTGTACTGACTGGTTTAATGAACTGACCTGTATTAGAGTGTTTACGATGTGAAGTGCCTTGAGACGACTCTTGTCTTGATTTGGCGCTTTATAAATAATCTGAATTGAATTTATTAATTTGATCAGAAAAAAGAACAAACAGACAGAACTCAGATCTGCTTCAGCTGAGCCCTTTATTACATGTGAAGCTAATTTGAAATCAACAATAATGTATCAAAGAAAGATTAACCACATAATCAAAGCAAATATTTTTGACACATTTTTAGAATACCGCTGCTCTGGTGATCATGCAGGCCAACAGATGTTTTTTCTTTTCTCATTTCATTGCTATATTTCTATGAAGGCATCGAAGAGCTACGCTTCAATAACAAGCTTCTCCCTGATGTTGATCATTGGACGCAGCATCAGTTGCAGTAAAAGTCCCATTTCTGAAGGAATAAAGAAAACAGGAGACGTAAGAATGAATGAATGTGAGCTTTTAAACACAGACGTGTGTTTCACTCACAGTTGTTTTTACTTCAGTGCTAGCTGGTGTGAGAGCGTGCGTCTCCTCCACCACGCTGCTGGGGAAGTGGCCGATGCGAGCCTCCTGCTCCCCGTAGTACGAGTCCTGTACCTGAACAAGCAGACACACCTGCTGGGTTAAAAGGTAATGCTGCAGATGGAGATAAGCTCTGTCCGATTTCTGAAAATATGTTTTTGTCATTGATTTCTTGATCACATGTGGGGGACAATTAGTGTTTGTCATGGACATAGGTTTTTTTTGGAGGGGGGGCAGGGTCCAGTCCAGCCCCCCGCTATATTAAACGGACACTGGTTGAGCACTAGGACCAAGCGGAAAACAACTGCTTGCGTTGAAGCCTTAGAACCATCCATAAGCTAATCTATTGGCTCTATCATTACATGCTAACATGTGATTGGCCGTTCCTGCCACCTGTTACTTGACAGTTCTGCATTCCTGACATTGCATCAAAGAGCCTCTAGGCTGTAGTTTTCTGCCACAGGAATGCAGAAATGAGGTCCATACCCCAAGGTCCTATGTGCATGTGTGTGTGATGATGTGAGGGAGCAGGAGGAGAAAAATGTATGGGGATGGGGAGGAATGGTTGGTTGGCCTAAGCCCTCCAGGGAGCCAGCTCCCCCACTGGCCCCAATAGGCACCTCTGTTCCCAAAATGCCACCCAGGACATGGAGACCCCAGAATTATTTTTTCAGAGGAGCCAAGGTCCACCTGAGAACCCTGAGCCAGTGCCAGGGCCAGGCGCTGCCGCATGTTCCCGCCTTCTTCCCGGCAGCATACATGTCAGGACCCAATCCCAGGACCCAATCCCCAGGGCCCTGCACAGATTCCCGCAGGGCACCTGGGCCGGGACCCCCCCCCCCCCCCCCCCCCCCCCCACACACACACACACACACACACTCCTAAAGTCAAACAACATCTGTGATGTTTGATATCTTTGATCAGCTGTGACAGCCATCTTGAATGATGCTGAATCCAAAGGTATGCCATGGGGTGTCAGCTATGCACTTACGCTGCCAGCCCAGAACAGGTTGCCTCTGCCTTTTAGCATTGCATAAACATAGACGAGCTGCCCTTGTCGAATGGGGATGAACCTGCAGTCTCCAGGGTAGAAGTCCTGCAGTGCACGAGCTATCAAAATGGGATCTGTGCAGGAATATAGTGTGAGACTCACACAAGTTTGGCATGCATCATTATTATATTAACATATAGTCCAAGAAAGCAGGCAGAACCAAACAGTCAAAGGTGTATATACTCACGACTGCATTCAGAATCAGCACAGAGTTTCTTTTCAGAGAGTTTAGGCATCTGCCTCCCGGCTTCACACGCTGCCACGAGGAGCCCTGCTGAAAGCAAAAGCCAGAGTCTGGAAGCCATTTCAACAGAGAAACACACCTAGAGCTGCAGAAGTGCTGCTTAGCTCTAGTTTGTGCTGACTTCTAGGGGGAGGTGCAGTCACCCCTCACCCACCTTTTCCTCATAATGAACAGAGCTCCCTTGAAAGCCTCCAAGCAGGTAAACAGGATGGGGGGATGAGGAAGAGGAGGGGGTGCACTGGAGTAAACAGACTGCTGTTTGTGTCCATTTTCCACCCAAGCAGCCGTGGGTTCAGCAGGCAGGTGAATTTCTGAGTCCATCTGAGCTCATTTCTTCCTCTGTTCTCCTCTTCCTGACTGTCTGCCCTTTACCTGTGAAATCAGGAAGAGGCGTGGCCATTGAGTGTATTTACATGTGGTATGCTTCCACTGCCAAGGAAACCAGCTGAGCCTCTCTTGCGCAAATCCACTCCGTCACAAAACACACACTCACTCACACACACACACAACTGTAAGGTAAGAGACTCCCTTTTTTTCTTTCTGCAGATTAAATAATTCACATCTTAACAAAACAACATGAAACTGAACTTTAAGAAACAGAATAAATGTCTTTTTAACAGTTTAAGTTTGGATGAGGAATGGAAATGACAGATAGAGGTGCTGACCTGTGAAACTACTGCCAATGAGACTAAGAAGGATCATATGGAGACAGCAAAGCATTATAATCAGATTGACATGTGTTGTATTATTCCATTTGGTTTATTTAATTTGTCCATCGTCTTTAGTCATAACTGTTTCCTAAAGATGTGGCCAAAATGTTTCATTTCAGCTTTCCCAGGAAGATAAAAAAAGTTGTGTTACTGGAATGAAAGTTCAGCTCAGAGGAATTTAAGGAGGGGAGCAGAACAATGACAACCATGCTGCTATTTCTGTCAAAGAAACCAAAGCACCTGCTGGACAAAAGACCTTCTTTTAGGTCATTTGAGATTATATTACCAGGAAAAAAAGGTTCAAAAGTGACACGTTTTCTTTAGTCTCAGACTCATCTACAGCCTTCTGTTCTTGTTTACAGATCTGTCAGAGAAGAATTAAAGTTCTACACACTTCAAACAGCTCCTGTGAGGAATTTTGTGGGAAACTAAATGGGAACATGATCCAATCAAGACCAGAAAACCAATAAATATAAATTCTGACCCTGTCTGACTGTGGGTTACACATTCAACATCTCCATCAGCGATGTTCACCCCAATGAAAAACAGTCTCCCCTCTCCCAGCATGGAGGACTCTTTCTTTCATCTCTCCTCTTCCTCCTCAGCGGCCCTCTCATTTAGTCTACCCTCATCTTCATCGTCCCCTGGTGGCGTCGACAGTGGAGGAGCGATAGAGACCGATCTAATCCTGGCTGCAGAGCTTGGCCAGGCGCTACTGGAGAAGAATGAAGAGCTGGCAGCTTCTCTGGAGCACAGAGAAAGGGAGATTGAGGTAGGAAGAAGTACAATTCTATTTCATGTAGAAAGTTATTTATTCTAAATAACAACTGGCTGAAGATGTTCTGGACTATATATATATATATATATATATATATATATATATATATATATATAGTTCTCCAGTAAAACATCAAATTTGAGCTTTTTCTGGAAACATAATTTTGACTTTAATTTCAATGCATCAAATTTAAAAATGTTAGCAACAAATTTCTGTCCTTGCTGTCCAACATGGGACATTATTGCTCCAGTGCAGTAATTTGTTCCTCATGATGCATTCATGTAGGTGTGATAATGCTTTCTGTACCTTTTCCTTTAATAAAAATGTCCTACAGTGCAATTAAAACAACAGACACGTTTCCTTGTCTCTGATAGGAGGGAATTAGTGATTTCTCGTCTGTCATGATGGTTCATGTAGAGTTTCTTGCTTCAGGCTTTAGAGCAGCAGAGGCTGAACCTCCAGAGGAAGCTGGAGATGAACCAGCTGGAGTCTGGTCAGAGAGAGTCTGAGCTCTCAGCAGATCTAGCTGCTCTGAGAGCCGAGCTGGAGAAGTACCACCATGAGGGGCGGGACCGGCGTAAGGATGAGAGCGAACAGATGGCCCAGTTGGCCAATCACAACCAGCGTCTGGTGGAGCAGCTGTCTGAGGTCAGTTCTGTCAGACAGATGGTTTCTGTCTGACTATCATGGTTAGATATCTACAATGCAACCAAACAGGTCTGACATGTTTACATCTCCCACACGTTACAGGCTGTAACCCTGGAGCACACTTTGAGGACTGAGCTGCGTTCCCTCAGAGAAGAGATGGAGGATTCATCGTTTAGTCGAAATATCAGCCTTTCACAATTAGAAAATATGCAAGCAGAGGTATTTTTACTACAGACAGAATACTGTTATCACTGTCTCTAGTTTGGAAACTACAGTATACTGTAAAAGTTCATGCACACATATTTTAAAAACGTGGCTGAACATTGCTCTAGAATCCCAATAGCTGTGATCAAGAAAAACATCAATTAATGTCTTGCATGAAATGCAGATTTTTATTTAACTTCATCTTCTATTTTAGCTCTTATAAATACTCTGTTCTCTGCAAAGCGATGTCAGGAATTAGACCTTTAACACTTAAACCTGACATCACATCTCACATCCTGCACACTTTTGCTAGTTTGGTCTACCTTTTTTGAGGCAGGATTAAATATTTTTAATTGCCATAGTTTAGCAGAAACTGAATCTAACTGATTTAATTTGCTGAATTTTAGTTTAAATTAAGGTTTTAATTGTTTATTCACTCATATTCAGAACAGAGTTTTGCTGGAGCGCATGTCACACATAGAAAAGCAGCTGAAAGCTTCAGAGGAAGACTGTCAGCGAGTCCGAGCTGAGCGAGAGGGACTGAGAGAGAAACTCTCTAATCTGCAGGAGAAGCTGAGTGAGAAACAGTCTGAGGTGAGAATCAGGTGTTTGAAATCAACCAATGAGTCGGCTGCTGAGAAAAACAACAAAATCATGACTCAGACAAATGTGACTAACACACACACAGCAACAACAATGCCTGTGCTCCTGCCTTACAATGTGTGTGTGTGTGTGTGTGTGTGTGTGTGTGTGTGTGTGCGTGTGCGTGTGCGTGTGCGTGTGCGCGCGCGCGCGCGTGTGTGTGTGTGTGTGTGTGTGTGTGTGTGTGTGTGTGTGTGTGTGTAGATCGAGCAGGAGCAAGGGGTTGTATTTGAGTTGCGCACCTTAAATCACTCTTTACAACAAAAAGCTCTGAACCTCGGAGAGGAGAACCTCCTGGACAGAACACACACACAACCATTGTCTCTGCTGAGTGAAATTCAGCAAACACAGGTACACACACACACACACACACACACACACACACACACACACACACACACACACACACACACACACACACACACACACTAACAATCTACCTTAGATGTGAACTAGTTCTGCGCTGACGCCCCTCTCATGATAAAACTGTGTACACACCTGGGATTGTTCATGTTGTGTAATCTGCATCTGTAACTCAAACACCTAGTTTTAGTAATCCTTGAGATTTAAAAGCTTGAGCCTTTAGTGTTGTGTTTTACTTCTCTCCCACCAGACTACAGAGGCTCTTATGGCTCACTCCATTGTGCTGCAGGCTAAAGATGAAGAAATACAAAGATTAAAGGAGGAGGTCTGATAAACACAACATTATCACACACATTTTTTAAATTGTTCTTCTTTAACCTAAAACAACATGTCTAAAAGGTACATTTAACTCATCTTTTGTGCTATTATGTGGGTCTCTACTGCCTGAATAAAAGCTCTCCAAACCTAAATAAAATTGTCCATGAAATTGTTTGGTTTTAGGAAATATATGCCTAAAAAAGGGTCATTTCAAAAAGCCCCCATTTGTGATGTCACAATTAGGGAAATTAGCATACAACCACCCTCACCTGTTGATGCTGGAGGGACAGTGACCCTACTCTGAACCCTCTGAGATATAATTTCTGAGCTTCTCCATTGGTTGACCCTTAGCCCAGTCACCTAATCACGTGAATCCACCATGATGGAGATCAGCAGTGACTTACAGAGCAGTGAATGTTGAGATAACATGGCAACAGAAGGTTTTTTTGTGTGTCAGTTTAGTCTGGCTTCTACTAGTTCAAGATCAGTTCAGTCGTTGGAAGAGGTAGCACCCTGAGGTGGGGCTGTTTACAAAAGTTAAGTGTCAGCTAGCTTGAGGCGTCAGCTAGCTTGAGGGCTGCTAGTACGTTTGACTGACTTTTGCTGTTCATCCCCATCTTCTGTCTCAATCAAAAGTCATACGATAAAAGACAAGTTGAGTTTAGGCCCTTGTCTGTTAGACAAGATAAAAACATTTAGTGTTTAGAAGGTGTTTCTAATCAGATTTCTTCTCATTCTGCAGCTGCAAACTCAACAGAAAGAGCTTGAGTCTCAGAAAGAGGAACTCAAACCTTTCAGAAGCAGCCCAGGAAAGCAGAGCTACAGGTAAGACTCAGCTCTCATCTGTGACTCGTTCACTTTTTGACTCAGTCCAATTCAGCACAGCTAATCGACCTTAGCAAACACAAAGAAGCTACAATTTTATTTACGAGTAGCAGAGAATCCTTCACAACACTAAAAAGCTAACTGGGAGTATGGGATCTTGTGTTCTAGACTTGACCAAGGTGACTAAAACTCCATCCTAGCTGATGACAGGTGGTGTCAGGAATGGTTTGAACTGATTGTATTCTTCTGTCTGTTTTGCTGATTATCAATAAATATCCAGTTCTCTGGAGAGTGAACTGGCCACAGTCCGTCAGGAAAAAGAATCCCTGACTCAGCAGCTTCTCAACACCATCAAACACAAGGTGGTGCTGTCTCAGGAACTGGACGCCTGGCAGGTAAATAGTCCGATTTTTAAAAGCCTCGTTAATACACCTTATGAACACATCTAATCCTCGTTTTCTGTGTTTCTGCAGGAGGACATGCGTCTGGTGATCTGTCAACAAGTGCAACAGAGAGAGGAGGAGAAGAAAAAAGAGGACGAGAAAGAGAAAGAAAACATGGCCGGACTCCAGAGGAGCAAGTCGTTGAAAGTGAAGGGAGAAGGCGGCAGAAGGTTCTTCGCTTCTTTTTTCAAAGATAAATGACATGATCCGCTTTTACACAACACCTGATGTCATCATCAGAATGTTATGTTTACAGATTTCATACCCGAATGTATTTAAGTGTACAGTACATTATTAATATTAGATTTTATAATAAAGCATCACATTAGTGAGTGTTATTGCATATTCTATAGTGTTCATGAACGAAACTACAGAAACCAACTTCAGGAGAGCAGGATGTGTCCGATTACAAACTTCACTTCAGCCTTCTAGAGTTAGACAGAAGCTTGCTGTAAAGGGATATTTCAGCCACTTTTATAGTTATTCACAAATTACTGGCATGTCCAGAACTTGTTGAATGGCCTCTTTTTGGATAGATTCCTAAAGGACTGACAAGCTGACAGCTAGTGCATTACTTACATCTTATAAAATCTCCTTTCAGTGTTTCACGGTAACATTATTTTATGAATGTTTTATGAATTCTGACGTGAAAATTTACCTGTGAGAGGAATTCTACATCCTGCAAAGTCATCGGTGTAAAAGTTCATCAAATAATGTTGCATGAACTGATGAAACTTTAGAGAACAATACACTTTGTTCTTGGATGTGTTTGGCCTAGCCATTAGCTTATCGATCCTTTTAGATATGAACTTTATTTCTCCAAACAGAGGTTGTTTAGAAAGATATCTGCAGTTGGGAAACGGTAGTGACTCTGTTCAGAAACACTCCAGAATGGCTGAAAACTCCTTTCCATAAGACAAACTGAAATTGTATTTATTATTACATGAATAGTGTGCAGCTACTCAACCTGATGTCTCTAATTACCACAAAGAAAACGAGCAATTAATGTGTTTATCTATAACATTACAGGAAATAGAATAATGATTATGTTTGCATAAGGCCAGAAAACACAATAAATGTGACCTCTAGCAGCTCAGGAAAACACACGAGGTAATTTAGTTAGAGAGGTCTGAGCAGGAAGTGTACAAAGGGACAGGAATCAAACAAGTTAAACGCACTTTGAGGTTCTGTTCATGTTTCAAGAGTAGAAGGAAATATCTGCTGGTTTATTAGTGACAAGAACAAAAATAAACACAGAAATAAATGTTTTTAATAAATTAACATCAAATAAACAACCTCTCTTGATTCTCTGTTCATGCTGACAAAAATGAGACATCTGCAATTTGTTATGAGTTAAAAAAAGGCTGGAAATGCCAGTTTCATTAAAGTCGTTAGTGTTTCCACATCTTCATTTATAAACAATGTCTTCTCTCTGTGCATTGAGCCATCACGTTCCTCATGCAGAGCATGAGCATTTCCCCCTTCACATCAAGTCACATATACCCTGTACCAAACACACTCCTACACTTTAGAGGTCATACCGATGCTTTAGGAGAGGATTTTACTGCAGTTTAGTTCACTTATAGATGAATCCGGTCACAAAATCTGGATCCATTAGTACTTGATTTGTATTAGAATATGATAAATGATAATGATAAATGACCTGCACTTGCACAGTGTCTTTCTGAGTCAGAGGACACCAAAGCACTTTACACTAAAATATGTAAACAAGCTCATAAACTCCAGAAGAATGCTGCAAAAAGCATAACGTTGAAGGTCATTTTTCAACCAACAATTCCCTGAATGATGAAAAACACCAGTGAAGGTAGACAGGAAATGATCTGTTATTCAACAAGATCCATACACATTTCCTGCTGAATTATCTATAGTATAAAAATGATATTTTAGGTTTGTGGTACATAAAGTTTGTGGTCCTTTGACTTTTCCTCCGCAGGAAGGGTTAAGAGGGACACACATTTATTATGCACCTACTTAAAGTCCCATCCATTTCTTCAGTACAACTCTCATGTCCATCAGGAAGCATCCTCAGGGAACTGAGAGGTAGGCTGCAGGTGAGATCCATTAAGGGTAGACAAACAGGAAGAGTTTTGGTACAGCCGATAAACCGTGGAAAGCCTGGAAAGTTGTCCTGACGGGGAATCATGCTTCCATTTTAGGGAAGTGGAGGTTATCCAACATTGACACCGAGGCCAACTTGCAGCTTGTCACCTCTGTGATTTACAAAGGCACCCATGATCAGGGTGGCTGGGAGCGGCGTCAAACGCTTCTCCAACACACCTCCTATTATACAGCGGCTGTTGATCATCCCTGCATGCACAAACAAAAGGATATCATCTGCACTGGACGTTTTCTGAGCACTGACTGGGACACACTGGTCATAAAAGTTGCGAAACAGAATCACCTCGAAACACCATGTTGGCCTCTGGGAGCTCCATCTGGTAACCAAACGAGGTTGTTGTTTCCTGTGTTCTGGTGCTGGCTTCAAACTCCACCCCGACCTGGATCTAATCAGCACAAATCCACATAAATATGTTACATTTAAATGTTTACTCTGCTCAGCTGAATTGTCCAAACCTGTTTATTGGCTCTGTGGTAGTAGCTGGCATGGGCGCCTCCTTTGCCAGCATTCAGCGTCGCGACCCAGTTGGGTCCTGCATGGTGGCACAGACAAAATAAATAAAATAAACACAAATGCATCAACATCAACAGGTAATCTTTACATTTTAACTTTAATCTAAACACTTTCTATATTTTCCTTCACATGGTGTGCTCGTTAAATAAAAACCAACTCTGGGGCTGTAACTGCACTCTGCTGAAAACGTGAACTCTGGTAATGTTTCCAAACTTAGACCGTTATTCAATTCTCACCTGAGTATTGGCCCGCCAAGGTAAGGATTCCCCCTTCCTCTGCCCGCCCTCGATGGTAGACCAGTTCCCCACCCAAAACCAGTCCCGAGGACACACTCTGCAGGAAGTGTGCCACAAGGATGACTGTAGAAGAAGACATTAAAGTCTATACCGTAAAATGTATGCTAGAAATTAGGACATGCTGAAAAAATAGCAACAATCGCAGAGGAAATATCATCTGAACGTTTTCTACAAAGCCAAACCTTGTTGTGCACCTTGATCAGCCACAGCTAACAATCCAGTCATACATACCTGACTCTCTGAGGATGTCTGGGTTGGCCACCGTCACAGCAGCGGTGAAGTCACTGCCTCGGTACTCGGTTTCAAACTGCCATGTTACAAACTGAGACTGCTGGGTCTAGGACACGTTTCAGGCTGGTCTTAGGGTTTATTATCATGGGAGTTGGATAAAAGAAGATAAAGGTCAGAAACTTGGGACGTTACCTGAAACACTGTTCTGGCTCGAATGTGCTCAGTGAGATGTAGCAGAGCGTGAGCGTTCAGACTTCCTGAAGAGTCCATCTCACCGATCAATGCTGGGGCATCCTGCAGTATTACACCACAAACCTCAGTCACCTTCTTTTTGATTTAACTCTGACAAATAAATAATCGGTGGTCAACATCATTGATCTGATCATGTATGACCTTGTCTTTGCTGCAGTCATCAGACTGTAGATGCTCCACGTGGAATCGATAGTAGGATGGACTAACAGCACTGAGGTGGAGCGTATGACTGACCTGGAGGTAGAGCCACCAGAAAATCAGATAAAAAACACAATCACTTTTCAGGATTAATACAAATGAATGTGAGTATATGACTCACCTTGAAGAAACTGCTCAGAGTTTTGTTAACAATCATTTTGACACCCTCAATCTGATTGGGAAACACGTCTGAGGGTTAAAGAGGAAACAGATCAGAAACACTAATGCTATTAATTGGGGGTGTAAGACAATACCGATGCACTGAAAGATCGCAATATTCTGTGTTAAGATAATAAATCAATATTTGAAAGTAGGATATCATTTTTATTGAGAATTTACAGGCAAATATTTACTGCCCTTTTTGTTCGGTGCAGTTCAAACGCCGACTGTAAGGTGGCAGCAGTTTTACCGCCTTCATTCTGATAGAAAAGCAAGATCTCACAACAACGCTAGATGTGTTCTGGAAGCGTCCTGTCTGAGTTGTACAATTCATTTCAGTTAAAAACTGAAAATATCATCTCGCTTTTCTTATTTCAATTTATCGTATTATATATATGCATATATATATATATATATATATATATGCATATATATATATATGCATATATATATATATATATATATATATATATATATATATATATATATATATATATATATATGCATATATATATATATATATATATATATATATATATATATATATATGCATATATATATATATATATATATATATATATATAATATATACACATACACACACACACACACACACAGAGAGAGATAGATAGATAGATAGATAGATAGGTGGGTGGGTGGGTGGGTGTGTGTGTGTGTGTGTGTGTGTGTGAGACACAATCAGCCAATTGCCGATATGTACGGCAGATTTTTATGGGATAATTTTCATGGATGTTTTCCACCTAATTTTCATGCTAAAATGACATAATTTGCAGTACAACATTTCTGAAGCTGAATATTTTTTTAAATTCTGAATTTAACAGTTAAATCTTAACTTTGTGCACTGCTCAGTCACTCTAAATAAAGTTAATTTAGAGTCTTTATTATGCTCATATTCATAGTGAACTTAAAAATACATCAAATTTAATTCTGCAATAGGGCACCGGGCTGCCCAAGGATGTGCCTGCCTTTAAATTGGCTTTACTAAGAACCGTGCTACCCTTATAACACCAAATTCTTTCTAGTGCACAGCTCTACTACTAATGTATTTAGCTTAGACTGATCCATAGATGAGCTATTTATCTTACTGTTCTACTTCATCAACAACACACTGAATTCTTTGTTCAAAAGCACCAAACTGTGTGTACTTTCCTCTGGAGCTACCATGTCTTCCACCAAACATGTTAATCGTGTTTTTAAAGCAGATGTACCTTTGCAGCTCCTGTGAAGAGAGTGGAAGCTGCCTGGGTTGGGCAAACGGTCATCTCTCCTCTCCCAGCGGGGGGGGCTGTCCCAGTGAGCTGGATGTGCATCCCAGCGAGAGGGAGGGGGTTCGGTGGAGAAAGGCCAGTTCTGGTGGCCGAGACTGGAAGACAAGGCCAGAACGCTGCCCATCAGGGCTTCTTCTACAGGACACAAAGACAAACCTCTGCTTGATTTTCTTGACCAGGGATCTTAAAAACACTGACAGGATGTGAAATAACACTTTTAAGTTATTATGGCGAATCCTTAAAATGTGTTTTTCTTCTAAAATGAGTTTAAAACATTAGGTGCTTTGATGATGGAATAATATGTGTGCAGGTGCAGCATTCCCGTTAGCTGTATGACCTTAGCATATGCCAAAACTACCATTTATGAGAGAATATCATTCATTCATCAACTCAAGATACCTTAAAATCCAGAGAGGTGCTGCGGACCACGCATCAGAACCGCTGTCAGGCGTGTTTTATCATTTAACAAACTACTAACTTAAAAAGCGAAGTGATGCTGAGGATGACTGATGCTGCTCCTGCAGGAGATGCGGCGCCCCGTTCAGCAAATATGTCCGTCCATAAGAATCACAGCCAGGGGGAAAATTAGAACAAAAATGCGTTAAAACGAGAAGAATAAACGAAAATCAGCTTTGTTCTAACATATTTTGAAAATTTACATTTTGCTGTTTGGAGAATGCGAGATTTCGTGAGGAAATTACGTAACGTTCCATGAAACGTGTTTCTAGTCGGACTGTTTTGTGTGTGACACCAGCGCCACGGCGACTGCACAGGCGACTCGGTCGACTTTGATGCAGCGGAGAGGAACAGAAGGTCATCTGCAGCAAATGAACAGATTGCATCAGAAACATTGGATCATTGGAGTCGGCCGTTCTAGACACGAAACGCTGCTTTTATTCTAAAGTCTGCTCCGGCCGGAAGTAGATTAGTGACCGGTGAGAGGCAGGTGGGGGGTCACTGACTCACTTTTTTCATCAATCTACGCAAGGAGAGTATTTTGGGACAACTTTAAGAGCTTCTAGGTCAATTCCAATAGTTTGTGTTTGGGATGGATGTGCCTCCTGCACGGTCCATACTGCTGGTGGGAGAGGGGAACTTCTCCTTTTCCTCCTCTGTGTGTCAGCTAGAAGCAGAGAGCAGCATCACCGCCACTTGTCTGCAGCATCAGGAGGAGGCACTGCGGCAGGAGGGTGCAGCCATCAACATCCAGACCATCCAGGACTCAGGTGATGAACCCCCAGCTGCTTCTGTGTTTTTGATGCTTTGTGTTGTTGACTTTGTGTTGTTGTTGTTTGTTCTTACAGGAGGATGCGTGCTCTTTGGGGTGGATTGCACCAAGCTGGGGGAGTGTGTCTCCCTGCAGGGCCGAGTGTTTGATCGGGTGGTGTTCAACTTTCCTCACTGTGGAAGGAAGAGTGGAGTGAAGAAGAACAGAGAGCTGCTGAAAAACTTCTTCCTCAGGTACACCACCATCATCATCATCATCTCTTAACATCCTCCAGGTTTCAGTCCTTTAACAAAGCAAAGGGCATTTTCTGCTCATTTAACACTTATATCCATATTTTCTATTTGAAAGCTTAGTTCATGGTGTCACCTTCAATTATAACTAGTGTGACCACTCTTGAGGGAGAGGCGGGCCACACATACACATACCGTGGTGTCTGGCTCGATGACTCCCTCTCCCTCAAGCCCCGTATAGATAATCTAGTGAAGAAACTCGGACTGGGTTTCTTTTTGTAAATAAACGGTGTTTTCCTTTTGAGGTAAAAAACGACTAGTCACTGCAACGTTTCTGTCTATTCTGGATTATGGGGACCTTTTGTATATGAACGCCTCAGCACAGTGTCTTGTTAAGACTGATGTGGTTTATCATGCCTCACTGAGGTTTATTGCTAACTGTAGACCACTGGCCCATCATTTAGAAGTGCA